TCAGATGCCCAACTTATCTTTACATAAGACATGCATTGCTGTGTGTGTGTAATGAGGTTTCTGGTTTTATGGGTAGCATTGCCTCCTTTGACCGCGTGGCCAGGGCTGTGGCTGCACACCGTCACCACAGCACCTGGAATTTAGTGTGAATCACTCCTGCTTTTCTTTCTTTTCCAAAAGGACAACACTCACAAAAGCCAGGTCAAAGTACAGTCAAAGTATGTGTTTCCAGTACCTGCCTCAATTCCTCCAGATAAAAGTTCTTAACGCCTTCAATAAAAAGCCATACCGCAAAAGCCATATTTGTGACTGAGTGTGGCTAAACCATATGCTGAAACAAAAGGCACTGCTGCTAACTAAAAACCAAAGCATTCAACAGTCTATATTTGGGTTTGAGTTCTTGCACAATGCTTGTGAAAAAAAAACAAACAAAAAAAACAGTAAAACCCCCTTGAAGAGCACTTCAAGAAAAGCAGGTATTAAATGCATTTTAATGAGGATGCAAAGAGACAGACAATAGCTCTGTTTGATGTGCTTTAAAAAAAAAGGCTAGATCACATAAGCACATCCTGAAAATGGGTTTGTATGTTTTCAAACACTCCTGAGGTAGTGCAGGGATAGCGTCTCAAGAAATTTGTCAACAAAACTCCAGACAGTCCATTGTTCATACAATGTCAGTGTGTAAAAAGAGGGAAGTGGTTAATTTACCTATCTTATCTCATTGAAGTTCCATATCTGTCTTACAGCCTCTTAAAACATGCCAAGATATGGCAATCAATGTTTAGCTATCACAGTAGGAGGCCTTGGCTGGGTTAGTATGCTCATATTTTTAAAGGAAAACATTGCATGAGAAAAACAATATATAGCTGAAATAAAACAAACCCATAACAAACTTTCTCATGACTAAAGACTAATCATTCATTAACTCACAAAACTTAAACCCACTGCTATTGCCTAGTACAATATGAAGTAGAAAATACATTATGCATGTCTATATCATATTTAGCTAACTAATCAGTTTTAGACATTTTTTTGTAAGTTTGTAAATAAACTCCCATTATCATCTAAACCAACTACCATCAAACACTCATAAAGCTCTCTGCAATTTTAAAACAATTGTTGTGTGTGTGTCTTAAAATCATCACCTGGCGTAACTTTTTATGTACTTTTTCAGTTTCTAGATAGAAGACCTGAAAAACTGAGTGACATGTTTAAATTATGCTGCTCTGTGTATTTCAAAGCCAGTATTTAAAAAGCATGGGACTGCTGCATGGAGTTTGCAAGTTCTCCCTGAGCATGCGTGGGTTCTCTCTTGGTACTCCAATTTCCTCCCCCAGTCAAAAAACATGACTTTTAGGTTAATTGGCTTCTCTAAATTCTCCTTAGGTGTGAGTGTGAATGGTTGATTGTCCTGTCCGTGTCTATGTTGCCCTGCGATAGACTGGCGACTTTTCCAGGGTGTACCCCACCTCTCGTTGAGAAATGGAGAAGGGCACCAGCACCCCTCTCGATAAGCGTGATGAAAAATGGATGGATCGATGGATATTTAAAAAGTTCCAAGGAACCGCTTTAATGGCACTGAAAAATCATGTCTTGGGGAAGCCAACAAAGCTACATCTGTTAAAAGGCTGGGATGCAAACTTGATGTTTCCAAACATGTGAATTGGACAACAGAACTCCAATGAACCCTCTCTGCAACTTTACAAGAGATAGCGACTTACTGAGTCTCATTTTCAAACACTCTAAACCAAGAATTGTTTACATTTTGGGAGAGTTAAGGCCTGGTTATACTCCCCGCAGAGTGTGTCACAGATATTTTTTGATTTATGCCCAATATCGAAGTGTGGTCTGCGCTATGTTGTTCCTGACACAACGCAAGAGGGAAAATTACGAAACAGCTGTGGGTCTAGATATGCCCGAGGCGGTGAAGATGTGGGGGCAAGTTTAGTGCGGCAACGGAGGGACATGAGGGCAAAAAAGAGCGGAGATCCAGGTGGAAAAAGGGTCCCAGCGTTCTCGTGCACCTCGCCCTCCTAGCTGGTGCAACTTCACGAGTCGTTTTCCGCATGCTCTTGCACAGGTTTAAAAGATGTTCCCCCTCGGGAACGGGTACAGGGTTGTGCATGAGCGTTTTTTTTAAGTGGACAGGGAGGGTCTTTTCAAAAATTTGTAAAAGTCTTCCCCTAAACCTTTAACATCTTCTGTTTGTTAAACCCCTTCATTTCCTGTCTTAATGGAAGCAATGTGCCCATTTCTTGGTTTGAATTGGCATCTGATTCTGTGACAAGCTTTTGACTGGCATAAGGATATATCCTCTAGCTGCAGGCTTAAAGATACTTGTTTTTGATCAATATTAACACTGAAAAACCAAATTCATGCAAAAAAAGGAGTGCTATTTGTAGAGACAGAGGAACTTGGTTATGGCAGGCAGCCAGAAGCGCTATTTTTTTTTTCTTATTAGAATTTAGTTACTCTATAACACCCAATTCTTCTAAACTTCAATCTCGTAAAAAAGAGATAAACTCAGAGAGTACGAAAGTATTCAGACTACCTTGGCAGTTGCAGAACAAATACAGCAGCCAGCCAAAATTTGACAACATCCTATTTTTGGGAGGTCAATATCATTCCCTTCTAAGGCAGAGCTTAAAATACTTAAATCAAAACTTAAATTGGCAAGGTTTTTGGGCAATGCCTTGGAGTTAGTTTACAAATAAGGGAGAAAGATTTAGGGTTTATCGTCTAAGTTGTTCCTTTTGCTGATCACATGGAGGTTATACTGCACCATGCTGCCAATATGAATGACAGCCGTACGGCTCTGTTTGTCACGTCTTATATTTCTAGTTTTGGTCATTTTGTAAATACCTGTTTTTAGGTGTAAGTAGAGCTTTCTCTCTCAGGACGATGCATACCAACTATTCATCAATTTACATTAACAAGAGTCCATTTGTTGCATTTCACAGATTATTTAAAGTCATTTTTAATAATCTGCCTTTTGATTACTGCTGAAAATGTTGATAAGGCAACTACAATTATTATAATTTACCAACAAGAAACTGTTCATAATTAAAATTAGAGAGACTTTATAGGGTCAACTGTCCAAAACTGGAACTGCAACAAACATAAAGAATACCGCCATGTAAAATTTACTCCAAGCATCCATCCATCTTCGGTTACGACTTAAGCCTGGTTTATGCTTAGAAACTAGGTCATCTGCGTGTGTGTGTTAACGCAGATATGCCACACCCCCTTCTACAGACACTCTGGTGCACCTCCCCATAATTGTAGGTGACTGCAGACAGTGTTGCAGATAGCATCACAGGGAGGAGAGAGAGGAGGCCTCTGATTGGTCAATTCTACATCTGCACTATACTCTGCGTATTTCCTGTTTGGTACCTTACCAGCTTGTTTTGTTTGTATGACCGTCATTGTGGAAAACGACTCTTGTAGATGGACCAGCTAGAAGAGCGAGGTGCACGAGAACACTGAGACCCCATTTCAACCTGGATCCCCGCTCTTTTTCACCCTCATGTCCCTCAGATGTCGCACAGACTTGCCCCTTGCGTTTTTCCACTTCCTCACCGCCTTGGCCAAATCTAGACCCACACCTAGTTTGCAGCTGTTCCTCTTGCGTTGTAGCATGGAATAACATAGTGCAGACCATGCTTCAAAATTGGGCATAAACCAAAAACATCTGTGTCATACCTGTCGCAGTCAAGCTCACTGCAACACACTGCTGCGGGAGTATAACCAGCCCTTTATCCCTGCTGGAGTCGCAAAGGGTGCTGGTGCCCATCTCCAGCTGTCTATGGGCGAAAGGCGGGGTACACCCTGCACAGGTCGCAGGGCAACACAGAGACAAACAGGACAAACATCCATTCATCCTCACACCTAAGGAGAAATTAGAGAAGCCAATTAGCTTATCAGACACATTTTTGGACTGTGGGAAGAAACCGGAGTACCCTGAGAGAACCCACGCATGCACAGGGAGAACATGCAAACTCCATGCAGAAAGACCCCGGGCTGGGAATCGAACCAGGAACCTTCTTGCCCACAACCCACTACACCACTGAGCACACCAAACTCCAACAATAAGATTTCAAACAATACATTTCTCTCAATTCTTATGTAATCTGCAAACACTTCACATTCCCATTGAGAGTCTATATGTTAAACATGGCAAAAAAGTGGATTTTTACGATAAATAACAAACCTGTCCTGTCTGCATGTGATCATAGTCTTTGTGTCTGAATCTTACTGAAAACGTTTAACCATGCGCTATTAAAAACATCAAGTCAGTAGCAGACCAGCTCTTGGGAAATGTACCCATCAGAGAAGGGATTGCTGATGCATTTCTGGCACTTTCAATAACAGTGTCCTCTTATGTCACTACTATTATTGGGCAATGGGGAACATAGGCATCGCTTAGTGCGCATGCCCAGGACAAGGACAAACATTACTCCGAAATGCTCAACAGAGAGAGACAAACTGGATTGATAGAAAACAAAAATGACTTGATCGACGGTGAAAGGATGTTTTGGAGACAAGCTTTCGCCTTTACGCGTCCTTTGCAGATTCTCCTAATAGTCCAAATCAGACGGTGTGGCTGCAGAGGAAGTAGAATGAGTTGCTGCTATTGTCAGCTGTAGAGTTAAAACACGTGAAAGTCCATTCACTCAGATTTGGAAACATTTTCCCAAAGGGCTTATACGGAGATAATAGGCGGAGACTTTAATAGCAAAATAGCGAGGGGTTAGAAAAATAGCAACAGGGGATACAAGTCCAAGTGACTTTATGGTTATTAGGAGCAGCTCGTTTAAAAACATGTATATGTTGCGCTGTATGCACACTCAGTAGGCCCGTTTCCTTCCTAAAATGTAGCCCACGCAGACGCGAAACGCGCAAGGAAAGACCCTGGTCTGGACAATAATGCCATCCAAAAGACAAACCCACATGGACTGTTGGGTTTTTATTTTCTCTGACTCAAAATGAAATGTACTTACCGAGGAAATCGGACACCGCAAGCGGAGAAATGTGCCACTTCGCCTCACTCTCCTCCTCGCCTGTTCGTCTTCTGCGCGGATTTTCTCAGAACCGCGTCTGCGTGGAAAATGTCAGGATTCCAGCAGTGGCTGACGGTCCCTTTGCTGCAGTCCGATCCGATGATTGTTGCGCTCTATGTCTGACCGGATCACACGACCATGGAGCTCTGAATGTCGCCTGCTGCCGCTGGTCTCATCCGGGGCGTTTTGGAAGAGGAGGAGGGGGGAGAGCGGCGGCGCGTTTCTGCGCGCTGGATGTCAGATTGGAGATGAAGGACGGAGAGGAGGGGGGCGCATATAGGGGAGGAGAGAGTCTGTGTCAGTCTGGTCAGTGCAAGGTGACACCATAAGGGAATAAAATATCTACTATATATGTTTATTTAACAACATTGTTAAATAAATCCACCTTCTGGTATCCATATATGATCCATAAACATCCAATCATTTCCCCACCTCTGGACCAGAGGCGTAGCCAGAAGATTTTTACAAGGGTGGCCAGGCAATAATCAGGACAAACAGAGGGGTGATAAATCTACACTGTTCCAAACGGAAATTTAACAAGCAAAAAATCCATATTTTCTAAATAAAGACAACCTATACGTTCCTACAGCCTTTGCTAACAAATAGACACACAAACATCCCTGCTTTCTAGATAAAAAGTATAGCGGATAAAAATTCTTTCAGGTTTGAGATGTGGGGCGTAAATCTTTTCTGTTGTCATTACTTACCTACTCGTATCCAATGTGACTATCGCTAAGCAGAGACTGCAGTTGCTTAGGGGCCCCCGACTTCTTAGGGGCCCCGTCACTGACACCTGGTGGGTCCCTTACGCAATTGTGGACTAGGACGTTTCTTTGCAGATATAACGGTGCCGAAAAATTCCTCCTAAACCAACCTGATACTAGATTGACTGACCAGAACGTATTTATACCCCAACACATGCCAGATTTCAACACGGTGAGCCTTTTAAACGTGACACCAACACCAACTGCGTATAGTTCATTAGACTGTTGGTAAAAAATACACTCATATATTATGTTTCAAACCACAATATAGATCTTTAAAAAACTATGTATTTGAGTATTTTATTTTTTAACTACAACTTGGAAGTATGGATAATCTAGAGCGTAGATTAAAACCGTTACGTACAATGTGTTAGCGACGATGGATACCAAAGAGAGGTACTTAAGCGGATTCCAGAAAAGAAAGAGGAAAGAAGCGCTGCTGGAAGAACGGGGTGTTGTACTTCATATGGGGCCCACCCAGATAATGTTGCTTACTTACTGTTGTGTCGTTACGCCATTGGTTGTATCAATAAACATTCTGTATATAATTGATACTTACAAGTACTAATATCTACATAAATTGATTATTTGATACGTTTTTATTAAAATTGTTATTTATCTATGATTTCACTGAAGACTCCTAGATGACTTGCAGGGACGCATTTTCTCTTTACCCCATATAACACAACATCTAGTACTGAAAAGAGCATGAATTCTGTATTTATCATCTTTGATGTTAGTATATAAATGTGTATAAGTAACCACAAAAAATTTAAATGTTTTGAATATTACACTTGAGAGTATTACTGCTGCCACCATCTGTATTAGAGGAAAAAAATGGTAAGGGTGGCCACAGGGGTGGCCAATGCTTGGCTAAGGGTGGCCATGGCCACCCCTGGCCCTCCATCTAGCTCCGCCCCTGCACTTGACCACAGCTGTAAATACTGGATCTACCTAGTTGCCATTTACTTGAATATTTTACCCTGACTTAGAAAATTAGCAAATAATAAAATTAGAGGAAAAAAATTATAAATACATAATTTCTTATTATGTGCTGGTCAGTTCGGAATGTTGTAAAAATATGTGAAATAACCTACATGAAACGTAAAAAAAAAGAAAAAAAAAAAGAACATTTTGTGAATAAATATTCTAGATATGCCCAAACCTCAAACATGTAATATGGCATGATTCAGCTTTTATTCTTTTTTTTTTGGGTAAATCGACTTGTATGAAATGTGACATTTGATGTTCTCCTAAAAAAAGATGTTAGAAATTAATACATTTGGCTGGTTGGCTGAAAGGTTCCATTACAGTTTATTGGTAGAAAATTGGTATGTGTACAAATACTGGTGCATATTAACATGGTTGGTACATAATTTCCCTCTGCAGAGAGTGTACAATATGACTAAAACAACAAAGGGACGAAATTGAGAGGATAAACTCATAATCCTGACCAGCCCAGGTTTTTTTTTTCTATGAGAATGATGAGTGACTTAGCCTATTATATAATTTAAAATAACTTTCTTTTAATCTAAATTTATTACAGGTTAAAGCCTAGTATGTGATAATCAAGCAAACAATATTTAATCCTGTATGTACTGGTGGCCACTAAATATTATATAACTGTCTGCTCCAGTCAACAGTAGTGAGGTTGTGCATGTGTATGTGTGTGTATGCATTGATTGAGGGCAATTAAATGTGCTTAAACCTCACCCAGAGTTTTCAGTTTGTTTAATAACCAAAGCAGAAAACAAGCAGTAATCCATTCGGGCCTATCCTTGTTTGATTTTAGTTTTCTGGGCGGGGCTGTGAAAGCAATGTAGATGGACACCATAACGTCTGAGATGAAACAGATTTCTGTCCTTCATTTTTCAAACTTGTTGCCTAACTGCATGTCAGTTGTGGAAACCTGCATTGAGGTTTCATAACCCTAATCTACATCTGCAAAGAAAACTGAAGCAAAAATCAATAGAAACAAATCCAAATTTGACACTATATAATTAAACTGCTGCTGAGCATCCTGTCTTTGTAACCTTTTTTCCTCAGATAAAAAAACGACAAAAATTACAGTCATATTGTAAATAAATCAAATGCCTGCTTAGCTCTAATCATGCTAATATTTTATCTATTATACCTACGGCCACATGGTTTATTTGCCCATATTCAGTGCAGAGAGAAATACTCCTTTGCTGTTTTTGCTATTTTTGTCACATATTAAAGATCATCTAACACATTTTTAAATCCACCAAATACAACCAGGGTGAAAGGCAAACAGAAGTTCAAAAAGTTTTATTTTCACTGAAGAGGAACAGATGCAGTAGTCTGTTAGATAATAATAATAATAATAAAAGAAATAATTCCCTATAAACAACTGTTTGTGCATCCTTTGATGGAAACCAACTGCCATGCATTTAATGGGTAATCAACGCTGTTCTAAAATGCATCGGATCTTGATGTCTTACTTTTCAATTTAGCTGGTTTGGTCTGATTTAGTTAAAAGATCAGATTGTGTATGCAACACTATCATATGTAGCTCCGTACAGAAAAAATAACAGCATCCTGTGCTTCAAATGTACAGTCAGCAATCTAACAGTTACACAACAAATACCACATCTACATCGCATCTACAGGAACACGATCGACTTTGTTTTTACTTCCCTGGAGTCCTCTCAACCCTTGTAAGGTGCAGTTGGCTATCATGATATGTACAGTGGAGCTTGTTTGTTACAGAAAAATCTATGATAGTCATTATAGGTGGGGGGGGGGGGGGGGGGGGGGGGGGGGGGGGGGTATGTAAACAACATAGACCTGTGTTAGCAGACATGTATCTGATGGAAATGTCAGCTTACTTTCTCTGTACTCTTTAGTTTCATGTCCAGGCAGGCCGGATTTGGGTGCGGTGTTTATTCTCCCACCACTCCCACCACTCAAACAAACCTTTACTCCAAATGTGTCACATGCTGCCAAATCTTTACAACTTCTTAACATCAATAACTTGTTTTTTATTCGGATAAGTGATATAAACAGAAGAAAATGTTGTCTTGTGTAACCTTCTTGCCAACCCTTGTTCTCAAACACAACATAGCTCTTGGTGTCCTATAGTAATGCTTATTATTTTTTATGATGCTGGTATAATCCTGTATGCTCATGCTACCTTTCCTTTATTGTTACTTTTTAACACCACACTGTTGCGTAACGCACACATCTGAGATGGGTTACGCTCCTAAGCAGTTACCATGGTGTTGGTTCATAATATAGGAGATTAACCTGTACAAGTTAGTTTAGCAGTTTGAATTGATGATTGATTGGGTTTTATGGTTATAGGAATCACCACAACAAAGTTGATAGCAGTGATCCTGCATATGAGCAGCAAAATACTGGAAGGCAAACACTGGCATAGTCTCTTGATGAATGTTATGAGGTGGCCAGGGGTTATATTAATATTTGCATCACAGTTGCATTTGTTAAATGTAAATATGAAAAAAGCATTTTCATTGTTTTATGTAAACATTTGCACATACTCAATGTATGATTAAAAGAGCTATGTTTTGAGGTATTACTGATGGTGCTGTCATAGTTTAACTATTTATTTTTTTCTAATGGCAAACAAGAATAAACTGATATACAACCATGACAGAGTTTAATTAATATTGTCGGTCTGGCCTCCATAAAGGACCAATGTGTAACTTTTTTGATAACTGTAAATCATCCTGACTTTATTATATGGTATAACAGATTATCCAGTTTTTAACCTAATTAATGTTTCCTTTCATCCAGATTGATCCAGCTGATCCATAACCGTGCTGCCCATGTTCTCACTAGATCTAAGAAAGTAGAGCTAAGATAGTAGGCTCCCTGTAGCTCAGAGAATAGATTTTAAAATCCTTCTTTTAGTCTATAAATCATTGAACGGATCAGCACCTCAATACATAGCAGATCTGTTGCAAGTGTATCAACCTCCCAGACCACTCAGGACTTCTAGTTCCAGTCTACATCCACAACAGGCACCAAACATGGAGAAGTGCTGAAAGCCTGAATGCTGTTAAGTCATAGTTAAACACCTATTTGTTTACAGCTACCTTTGACTGTTAAAGTTAAAATGTTAACTGAGGTATTATTAGTTTAAGGTTGTGGTCCAACTGTTTTATTTCCTTTACTGCCTGCTTTTATTGTGTTTTTATCTTTATTTGTTTTTATTTGTTTAATTCATGTAAAGCACTGTGAATTGTCTTTGTAGTGGATTGTGTTTTAAAATAAACTAGGATTGCCTTAATCATTTTATAGACAATCATTTTGTCCATATTTTATAGAGATGTATTTTCAAATCTCAGTACTATCAACTGTGACGCTGTTTGAAAAAGCAAGTATTTGCTGCCATCTTGCGGCAAAATATTGAAACAACCCTTACTTAAGCCTGCCCTTTCCTTGGAGAATTATGCAAAATCCACGGGCCACATTAAAAACAAAACTTTTTGGTGAAAAGAAATGGTGGCAATAAAAGGATGACTGCCTAGAAGAAGAAGCGGTACCCTTTACTAATATATTTCTGTTAAACTGGATGTAAGACCCATGTTATTGTTTGATACTTTGCTGTGTTCATCCTCTTTTTCGAACGCCGGTTAAGGGAATTATTTAAAGATAATCAATCAATAAAATCAGGGTACTTAAATTGAATCATTATAGACCCTTGGATAAAAAAAATGACCCAATATTACAAAAAAAAAAATTGTTATTTTATAGTTTGCATTCATCATGAAATTTTACATTATTTTTCTTCTTTCTGACGTTTGACATAGATAAGTGTTAATTGCTTGCACTCTATCTTTAATTTTTATAATGAAGGGATGCTCAGATCTATTGCTAACAGATGTCCAAGGAGACCGGATCAGGAGTAGAACCCAGGAGATGCATATTTATTCTAATTTATTTATGCACTGTTATTACTAAGTGGGAGTGTTGGCCTAGTGGTTAGAGCAGTGCGCTTGTGCTCTGAGTAGATTGCAATAACCTGGCTCAAGCCTCATAGCCACCACTCAGGCTCTCTGAGCAAGATCCTTAACCCCACACTGCTCCCCGGGCCAGACGTGTAGCCAGAAAATATTAGTAAGGGTGGCCAGGCAATAACCAACGTACACTGAGGGGTGGCCAACATCCATATTTTCTAAATAAAGACTAACTATACTTCCCTACAGCCTTTGCTAACAAATAGATGCATTAATTTAAACATCCATGCTGTCTAAATTAAAGGTGTAGTTGACAAAATTCCTTCAGTTTTGAGTTCTGCGGCAAACATCTTATACATTGTCATTACTTACCTAATTTTATCAATAATCATTCTGCATAAAATTGATATTTACATGTTCTAGTATCTAAATCAAATGGATTGTAATATGTTATTTATCGCTGATTTGAGTGAAGATTCCTAGATGACGTGCAGAGACATAATTTTCTCCTTACCCAATATGAGACAAAATCTAGTCCTGAAAAGAGCATAAATTCTGTATTTATCATCTTTAAAGTCAGTATATTGCTGTGCATAATTAACCACAGTGTTTTTGTTGTCAGGATAATTGTTTGTATATCGAAAATTAAAATGTTAAATAAGTTATTACATTCAACTTGAGAGTATTACTGCTGCCACCGTCTGTGGCAAAAAATGGTAGGAGTGGCCACAGATTGGCTAAGGGTGGCCATGGCCACCCCTGGCCCCCCATCTAGCTCCGCCCCTAAATGCAGAGAGGGAATTTCTACATTGTGGGACAATAAACAGGTTTATATTTAGCTAATCCTTTTAATATTTTGTCCCCAAAATTTAGGGTTGGACACATTAAAAAGTAATTTGCCAAATTGAGGCCACTGAGATATTCTTCAGGAGTTAAAATAAATGTTTCAAATAAAATTGTTCGAATTATGAATGTGGCAAAAAATAAAGTTGATTATAGAGAATTAATACAAAATAATTAGATACAAGTAATTGCTAGTTCATACTATTTTCATTATTATTATCATCAATATTATGAATTCTAATCACCTGTGTTTTGTGCTATTCATATCTAAAGCAACCGACATACATGCAAATTATGGTATTTCTTTGCCATTTCACTGAAATTTGCTGTATTTGTTGTGCCTTCAACGTCGCATTTGTAATGAAACATTTCATTTTTATACACCTGTCAACGTGAATGTTTACCTGAAGGGCAAATATTAGAACGTTTGCTATTATTACAACCCAACCATATCGCTCTATGTGGAACAAAATGTTTCATATTTGCTGGGGAACTGTCCATCTATCCGTCCGCGTCGCGCGCATGAACGCCCACGCGCCCGACGTACAAACGCACAAATATGTCGGCATCCGCTGCACCTCTACGCTCCTCCTTCAGGATTTGCTTACCGTTAACCGCACACTACTGTGGCAGCCGCGCCAAACTGCGGACGCACAGAAAGCTCGACAGTCAAAAGAGGCAGCTGTGTCATTCTGTGAAAAGGTACGTGGCGCCATATTTAAAATACTGTCGTTTTTTTGTTGTTGAAATTAACAGAAGGGATGGAGAGCGGCAATGAAGTACCGGTGGAAGGATAGTAACTCACAGCAGGTTTTAATGTAACCAGTAGATGGCGCCAGATATGTTAAATAAACACACCATCATGTTGTGCTAAAATGTGATAAACTGAGCTGCGTGAAGCTGACACCCCACCCACGTCAAAAAACTCTGCAAATAGACTGAATGGTTAGTGCAACGTTAGTGCAGATTTGTGCAGAAAAAAATATCGTTTGTGCTACTTTTGTTTAAGAGATATTAAAGATTATTTTTTAGGTCATCCAGAGGTCACCATCCCCCCATTAAACTCCAATTTGAACCAAAGTGGTCTCGTTTTTTAGTGCTTCGTTTGTGCTGATTTGTGCAGTTAAAACGGTCATTTGTGCTATTTTACTTTTAAAGATATAATCATTTTAATTTTTGGCTGATGACGTCACCATCCCCCCATCAAGCTCCGATTTGATCCAAAGTGGTCTCATTTTTTAGTGCTTCGTTTGTGCTGATTTGTGCAGTTAAAACAAACATTTGTGCTGCTTTACTTTTTAAGATATAATTATTTTAATTTTTTTGGCTGATGACGTCACCATCCCCCCATCAAGCTCCGATTTGATCCAAAGTGGTCTCATTTTTTAGTGCTTCGTTTGTGCTGATTTGTGCAGTTAAAACGGTCATTTGTGCTGCTTTACTTTTTAAGATATAATTATTTTAATTTTTTTGGCTGATGACATCACCATCCCCCCATCAAGCTCCGATTTGATCCAAAGTGGTCTCATTTTTTAGTGCTTCGTTTGTGCTGATTTGTGCAGTTAAAACGGTCATTTGTGCTGCTTTACTTTTTAAGATATAATTATTTTAATTTTTTTGGCTGATGACATCACCATCCCCCCATCAAGCTCCGATTTGATCCAAAGTGGTCTCATTTTTTAGTGCTTCGTTTGTGCTGATTTGTGCAGTTAAAACGGTAAATTTGTGCTGCTTTACTTTTTAAAGTTAATTTTTTTAAATTTTTTTTGGTGATGACTCACCATCCCCCATCAAGTCGATTTGATCCAAAAGTGGTCTCATTTTTTTAGTGCTTCGTTTGTGCTGATTTGTGCAGTTAAAAACAAACATTTGTGCTGTTTACTTTTTAAGATAAATAAATTAAAATTTAGGGGGTGACGTCCCCACCCCCTTTAGAGGCTGCGGAAGTGAACAAGTCACAGAAAAGCAAAGGGGTCTCGTCTAAGTTAGTTTGAGTCCCTATGCATGTCCAGTGGATGTTTCAAGTGTGAAAACTGATGACATGTAATTTTTTTTGCCTTGTGTGTTGAAAATTTCCTTTAAAACCCTCTTTTAAAACTGTGTTTTTTTTGTAGCTGCGTTTTTGTTTTTTTAGTGCAGTTTTTTGTGTACTAACTAACTGTTTATATCAATGTTGTTCTTTTTTGGGCTTAGCCTAAACGTTAAGTTTATATTACATGTTTTGTTATTCAGTCTTTTCCACAGTGATCGGATTTTATAACCCTGTTGATATCATTTGTTGATTTAAAGTTTTTTGGGCTAGATTGCCACTAGGTGCAGCAGGAAAAATGATTTTCTTTATGGGGGAATGTTTTTTCATCCCTGATTATTTACTTTATGTTACTGATTATTAAAAAAATTAAATAATTTATATCTTAAAAGTAAAGCAGCACAATGACCGTTTTAATGCAAAAAATCGCCAAACGAAGGGCACTAAAAAATGAGCCACTTTGGATCAAATCGGGCTTGATGGGGGGATGGTGTGTCATCAGCCAAAAAAATTAAAATAATTATATCTTAAAAATTTAAAGCAGCACAAATGACCTTTTTTTAACTGCACAATCAGCCCCAAACGAAGCACTAAAAAAATGAGACCCTTTGGATCAAATCGGAGCTTGATGGGGGGATGGTGACTATTAGAAAAAAATTAAAATGTTTTATATCTTAAAAAGTAAAGCAGCACAAATGTTTGTTTTAACTGCACAAATCAGCACAAACGAAGCACTAAAAAATGAGACCACTTTGGATCAAATCGGAGCTTGATGGGGGGATGGTGATGTCATCAGCCAAAAAAAATTAAAATAATTATATCTTAAAAAGTAAAGCAGCACAAATGACCGTTTTAACTGCACAAATCAGCACAAACGAAGCACTAAAAAATGAGACCACTTTGGATCAAATCGGAGCTTGATGGGGGGATGGTGACGTCATCAGCCAAAAAAATTAAAATGATTATATCTTAAAAAGTAAAGCAGCACAAATGTTTGTTTTAACTGCACAAATCAGCACAAACGAAGCACTAAAAAATGAGACCACTTTGGATCAAATCGGAGCTTGATGGGGGGATGGTGACGTCATCAGCCAAAAATTAAAATGATTATATCTTTAAAAGTAAAATAGCACAAATGACCGTTTTAACTGCACAAATCAGCACAAACGAAGCACTAAAAAACGAGACCACTTTGGTTCAAATTGGAGTTTAATGGGGGGATGGTGACCTCTGGATGACCTAAAAAATAATCTTTAATATCTCTTAAACAAAAGTAGCACAAACGATATTTTTTTCTGCACAAATCTGCACTAACGTTGCACTAACCATTCAGTCTATTTGCAGAGTTTTTTGACGTGGGTGGGGTGTCAGCTTCACGCAGCTGATAAACTGCTAGAAAATGAACGGCAGCGGGAGCGCGCAACCTGTTCCGCGCGACATTGAACCGACGTCACTCGCAAATTTAAATTATTTTGTAATAAAGATACACGTGTTTTTTTTTGTTTTTTGTTTTTTTGCGAAACGTTAGTGCTTAAAAAATTATAATATCCAATTCATATGATATATGTATTTTCTCTCATGTAAATTAACATTACTACTGATTTTAATTGCTTTAAACAATTTTTGAAATAAAGGTAAAGATAGTCTTCAAAATAATGTTATTTTCTTTATGCTATTTTTACTTAGATATTGATGTACATTTTCGCATCCCACGTGCTGTGTCACTTTGTTGCCATAGGAATGACTGCTTTCCCTTTCCATTGTAGGGAAGAGGCTGTCCCATTCACGTTTATACCCTCCACCTACAATCCAGGTGCCTTCCACAGCTGTGATTGTGACTTTATTGCGAGTGACACTTGACCTTTTATAGGGCACTCAGTGAAATACTTTGAAAAGCTAATATTCAGGCCAATAGTGTTATTGGAATACAGGACAAGACCTTATTACCTTTGTAACATTCAAAAAATATAGATATTTTGATGGCAAAAATTAATGTCAATGTAAAAATAAGAAATGCCTATTTGCCTGAATATGTTAAGAAAAATAACAAAAGTGCTTCTATAAGAAATTCATGAAAAACCCTGAGAGTGAAAGAAACCCTTTTTTTGTGTGTGTTTTTGGTACAACATAACCTTAGAGGCATTAATGCTGATACTGGCACTTACATTTTTTAGTTTATAAACCTACTTTTTACCTTTTTTTCTTGACTTTTTAACTTTTTTTCCAACTTAATTTACAGTAGGTAATATATCATTCCAGGGCTCATCTAAGTGGTCAAATGCCAAAATAAGTTGTACAGCTATGCAGCAGTATTTTTGCTGAATCCCTGGATATAGATCTTGTTCTTCTAGACCTCACTTAGGGACGGGGGGACTCCATTTGTAAGGGGTATGCAAGTGATCAAAAACGGTAAGTTGCCCTATAAAGAGTTAGTGGTTAGGGTTGGGATTCAACCTCAGGTCTGGGAGTCGATAACATTTTGACACAACACACCACCTTTAGCTGTGGTTGTTGTACTGTTTCAATGAGCTTCTACAATGTGTGTAGCGGCTAAAATCCTATATTTTAGGCTTCTGGTTGCTATTCCTGAATGCCGTTGGTTTTACCTGTGCTTAATGAAGATTATCATGCCAATCTTTACTTTACTTATAATAAATTCATTTATTAACAGAACCATGTCCATAGTTTCACTACTTCCCTTTACATAAATACATAAATTCGACATTAATCTAAACCAAACACAATAGAAAACTGTTGCCTCCTCTCATTAACAAAAGCTGAACAGAATCATGGTTGACTTTAAATAACCCCATCACCCAGCAGACAATAGGAACTCACAATCCTACCATGGAGACGATAAACACAGGAAAGGACAAATGGCTACTACAATGTGATAAGATTTAGACAAGATGTCCCAGGGTGTCTTCAAAAATTATTAAAGAGTTTAGTCTAAATATTAATATATTTCCCTTCAACTGATTTAAAATGACGAGTTCAAAATTTTAGCCGATAGTTTATTAAGGACTTCTTTCTGTTCTGTACATAATGTTCCCCAGGCATGCCGCCGTGGTGATTTCAGGAACAGAGTTGGCTCGTCAAATTCACAGAGAAATCCAGCGTGATGTGGAAGAGCTAATTGCCCATGGCAACATGAGACCCCACCTCGGTGTCATCTTAGTCGGAGACGATCCAGCCAGTCACACCTATGTTAAGAACAAGACCCGGGCAGCCACCATCCTGGGTCAGATATCAGCATTGTTTGTCTTTCTCAGTTCTGATCATTGAATGCATCATGCAGTCATATACATGCATCTCAAGTTAGAGCATTGTTGAAGTGATTATCATATATTAATTCATTACATAAGAGTGATGTTTATCTGTCCTCTAGAAATATTAAAAAGTGCATATTTAACAATATATTATGGTCACTTTAAAGTGACGTTATCCTCACCCTTCAGAAAAAAATAGATGCTAAGGAAGATTGCATATCAGGGTGCTGCATCCAAGCATATTAATGGATAGATGAGTAGGAGAAAAAAGCCTATTCAAGAATTCAAGGTAGACGATGTGCATACCTTCCACAACATGGGCTGAAACATTCCTAGTGTTACTGGAGATAACGTCATGAATGTCTTACCTGTCCTGAAAAGGGACCTTTGTTCAGATTAAAGTTAATTTCCCACTTAATAAGACAATCAAGATGATGCCGAATGGTTGTCTTCATGCTACCCCTTCATTAATGCAATCTTTTGTGTAAATAAAGCTCTAAGCAAATATTACACATATTGCACAGTATGTGGAAAACCTCTCAAAGAAAAAACAAAAGGGATTTTAAGTAGTTTGAAGCTGTTATTCTTAAAAATACCAGAAATGGATATTTCACATGAGCAGCTCTATTACCAAGGCATCTATAAATAAATGATTTTCTATTTTAGAACTGACTTACTGAAAACAACAGTTCTAAATTATATTCTGATTTATTTCTCCCACACTCCCCATATTATTTACTCTTATGTAAATCACTACGTCTGTTGGGCTATTTTTACAAATAAAAATCAGATCACATGTATTGCTGCTGTGTTTAAAGCTGACGTGTTGGGAGTGTAACATTCCTCAAATTTCCAGGTATTTCCAGTGACACAGTGGTTCGACCCAGCTCGGTGTCCCAGGAGGAGCTGCTGGAGTTAATTGATAAGATGAATCGTGACTGGAAAGTCAGCGGCCTCTTGGTTCAGCTGCCACTTCCAGGTATGTAGAAAAGAATCTGTAAATCCTAATTCTGCCTACCTATAAATGAAGTGCAATTTCTCTTCTACTATTTTTGGAGTGTATTTGGTTTGTATAGATCCTAAGTCAGAACTCTATTGCTACCTATGTTGAAAAAAGGCTAAATAACTTAAATCCTTTATGTATAAAGCTGTACCCTGTACCGCAAACAATTCAAAACAGTTTATTACTATAGGGCCAATTCACAGCCACATGTCATCTTAAGGCACTTTAAAGATCACCAGATCATGCAGTCAAATTGATTCAAAGTTTTCTATCTAAGGAAAACCAGTAGATTGCATCGACTCATTGACACGGATGCAATTCCTCACACTAAGCATGCTTGTAGCGACAGTGGAGAGGAAAAACTCCCTTTTAACAGGGAGAAACCTCCAGCAGAACCAGACTCGGAAAAAGCAGAGAGATCTTGCAAACAAGATTGCAGTCATTATTTGCAGAGTTTAGAGCAAAACTGCACCTGAAATTTTAAACGAAGCTCTTTTGTGTTAAAAAAACGTTCTACTGGAGTAAAAACTGTTTACTGATTTTGTTTTAACATTGTTTTTGTTAAACATCATTGTTTTATGTGCAAGGAAAACATCTCATCACATTCCTTAAGGTGTTTTTTGACCACCTAAGATAAAATAAAGTGATGACAAACATTTTTATATTTAAATAACAACCTCACTTTTATTATTATTTTTTTTAATAGTATAGTGATAAAGGTATAAATATTGGGTATCAAATAGTGAATAGTCCAATGTGTTGGTAGCAGTTCTAATTTTATCTTTATTTAAGACACATTTGGTCATTTTGTAAAATAAAATAAAAATAATTTCAAGTTATAATATTACCTGAAAATAATAATATTCATAATAAATAAATAATAAAATTCATGCTTAATGTAGTTATAGCTGATATATACCGCCTCTCCCTTCCTTAGATCACATCAACGAGCGAGCTGTGTGTAACGCCATTGCTCCAGAGAAGGATGTGGATGGTTTCCATATTGTGAACATTGGGAAGTTGTGCCTGGACCAGAGGTCTATGGTACCTGCAACACCTGCAGCTGTCTGGGAGATGATCAAAAGATCAGGTAAACCAACAATGGTTCTAAATCCCTTCTAGGTGTCTATTTTTATTTGCCAGTAATTTTTCCAAATTGATTCTCTAGATGGCAGTAAAGATCTGTTATTACTCATGCTCACAGTGCTCTGCTAGTACCATTTTATACCATTATATCTGGAAGTCATGCAGTGTGATCTTGATATTTCTGATATTGTTTAACCTTTAATAAATTACTTTTTCAACCTGGAGAGACTCACACAGAGAAAAGCTTCAATTAGAAAAATTTTTTTTTTTTTTTTTTATACCGGTAACATAATAATATTCTTCACCATATTTCTATCTAAGGAAAACTAGCTGATTGAGAGGATTCATTGACTCTATGCAATCCCTAGCAGTGAGCATGCATGTAGCAACAGTGGAGAGGAAAATTATCTTTTAACAAGAAGAAACCTCCAGCAGAACCAGGCTCGGTGTGAGCGGCCATCTGCTGAGGCCGATTGGGGCAGAGGAGACAGAAGCAGATGAAGACATAAACCAAATAAGTTCTTTGGCGCTCGGGCCCCGGCAGAAGACTTCAGTGCTGTGAAACAACATTGGTTTAAATGAGTAACCTAGAAAAGTATTAGAGTAGTCTTCCCCCATGGCCCGGACTCTGGTAGTGGAATAAGCCAGAGGGTAAGTGGGACAGCAAACAGTCTGAGAATGAGATAAGTGGAGGTCGGTTAAAGTTCTCTTGCGTGTGGGAGAGAGAAGCTGGGCTAGGAGCTAAATGAAGGGGGTCTTGCAAGATGATTGGCTTTGGAGAAGGTGCAACACCGAGTTGATTGGCTGAAGCTGAACAATTGACATCGCAGGTGGTTCAGGTGAAGCTGAGAGTCTTCCAGGTGGAATTTACTGAAGCCTGAGCCTTCCTGCAGTAGGTATATCTTTTCAGACATTTCCAATAGTTGTTGAGCAATGCTGGCATTCACAGAAAATAAATGCCTTGTTCTTTGATTCAACCCCATATCTATCATTTAATTAAATAGTGGCTTAATATGTTGATAAAGGTACCCCCTGTGATCACAGTATTAGATACAAAGTCTAACATTTCTACATTAACATTAAAAAGAAAAAAAAATAAGGAAAAAATAAATAAATAATGGAGATTTTGCTTCCTGATCAAACACATAGAGGAATGTTTGTGTTTGTTGCCAAGAAAAGTAAAATCTGCATCCAACTTGGCTGCTCATCAGTGCAGTTCAGTTCAGGTAACTGTTTTTGCAAAGAATGCCACTGATGGGTGGCGAGGCATGTTGCGTAGGACTCAGGTCTATGTACGCTATTTTATCTGCTGTAAGATATCAACAATAACGATATAACAGGGTGCGCAATGACAAAAAAATCAAACCAAAAACGATTTAACCGATGGTTTATAGTGTTTGTTTTAAAATCAAAATTTATACTAATAAAGAATTTTGACTTTATCTGTACTCCTATTTTGTTCAATGTTGGAGATCTGCTAAGAGAACAACAGAGGCTGATTCTGTGTGATTAATTTAGTAGATGACATCAACTTCAGTAACAAGTATTAAATGAGTGATTTATTTCTTTTCTATGTTTCTTTCAATGTCAGATCATTATTCCAAAGATAACTTTAGAAAATATGGTAGAGAATATTACTTTCAACATTTAGGGCTTAATCAGTGTTTTAATGTTTAACCTCAACAAACTGTTTAAACAAATCATTTCTTTGCAAACACGTTGTGACCTGATACACAAATCTACAGCAAAACTATCTGTAAATATTTTAGATAAGGATTTTCATGAGAATAATAATTGAATGTTTTCATCCCTGGGAATGTGTTTATGCAGGAATACAGACTGTGGGAAAGCATGTGCTGGTTGCTGGTCGCTCCAAAAATGTTGGAATGCCCATTGCTATGTTGCTGCATAGTGATCGGAACCATGAACGCCCTGGAGGTAAGTCAGTTTCCTTGCTTGTTTTATTATCTCCACAAGTTTATCGGCTCAATAATATATTCATCATTTTTGTAGAAAATGCAAGTTGCAACATCACGGTTTTCCCTGAGCTTTTGTCAGGATATGAACGCTTGCTTCAGTATTTGCCTTTTTCTCCAAATATAATATATGCTGATGCATGTCCGACAGGATCAAAGGAAGGGAGTGTGAAGGCCTGAAAACTGGGTGAAACTTTTGGCACAATGGATGGCTGTGAAACGGATCCAATCCTTATATGGTGCAGGAAAAAAATGTTGGATTTCAAAAGGTGTTGCCTGTTAGGATTAAGCAACAAGATTTACTTTAACTGTCAAAGTTCAGCTGTCTGACATGAGAAAGCACAAAAACAAGCAAAGCCATATAATTAAAGCGCACCAGAAGCTGAAGTTGCTGTTGAACTCAAAAGAAGCACAGAGAAATGTAATGTGCCTTACAGGGTTAGTTCCCCAGGGTTTCAGGGAATGACATACATCCTGTCTGGGGCGGTTCTAACCAGTTAGCATCATGAAACTTTTCTCATCCAGAAATCTATAGAGAAGAAGAAACCAGTAGAGAAAACAAGTATCCCTACCAGTTTTACCTGTTTTTGAAGTAACTGTTTTGGGAGCTATTTCTAACTGTTGTTTTTTAGGGTTGTGCCTTTAAAAAAAAAAGAAGTAAATTCAAACATTTTGTAAACACAGATTTGTCCTGGACCGTTCAAATTGGCTATAATAATGTAGGTAACATCTGATTGTGATGTATCTTTTAGATATATACCTTTCTAACAAGTTTTGCCAAGAAAAAAACTGAAGTCTTTGTTGTATAGATTCAGGGGTGTCTTAAACATTTCTCAGAGATTTTGATTCATATTGGCACATTTGCTTCACTCACTTAAGGTGAATTTTGTAGCTGTACATTTATTCCAGCACACCTCAGAGGTTTTAACTGAGATCCATTGGCTGTGGAGACCGTTGGAGTTTAGTTAACTGTCACACTCATTTTTCTTTTTAAGAAATCAGGTTTTTCCTGCTTGAAGGAGCCATCTTAGATGGATGGATACAGTAAAAGTGATTCACATAGTCAACAACTACACTTTGTTGGCCTGTTGTGTTTAGGTGAGGTTCAGTTGGGACTAAAGCCTCCAAGAGACACACTGACACCATCACTACCTGCCCTAACATTGGATCCAATGCGTGAGGGATCTATGTATTTATGTTTTTTTTATATAATTTTTAATCTGACCCTGTGAGTCATACTGTTGGAAGAAGACTCATCAAACCAAGAGACATTTTTTCCATGAAAAAAACAAACAAAAAAAAAATCTGGCAAAAGATGCAGATATATGTTGAAATTAAATACATTGTCTGTGAGAACTTGTTAAAATGATTCAATGCTTTTCAGATGAAATTACATGAAATTCCAGCTTAACTGTTAAACATGTGGCGCATCGAGCTGCTGGTTTCTCCACGCCCTCATAGTTAGGTGCACCCTCTACAGTTAGTGTTTATGAATTAAAGGTATGAGTTTGTTTTATTTAGTTTCAGCAATTACATGGCAGTAAAACGCAGTAACCACTTAGTCATTTGGCACTGTTTTACATATTTGTGCATGTTGTATCATCAACTTGGATGTAAACTGAACTGTAGGCATGTCTGCAGTGAAGTTGGATTTTAGAGTTATAGACATTTAACTAGTGATTTCCAGACATATATGAGAACCAATATGAGTTATTCAACAGGCAGGATTTAAACACAACAGCACTTTTTCTACACTTTTTTCTCTGCTGAAAATGAGGACTAGGGTGGATTAAAAAGAAAATCATCTCTCTGCCGGTCAGAAGACCAGCGATTCAACTCTAGACTCTGGACATGGATGTACAGGAACAACATTATGAGCATCCCTAACCAGGTCCTTCAACCAACAGTTAATTCATTTTTTTAAATTGATGCCTAAAAAAGTCAAAAGGAATCAAGCATTTTACATAATCACTCATGGAAGTAAACTCTGTGGAATATATAAATACATCAAAAACCTTTTTCATGCTGGTTTGAAGAGAGCTAGAAGAAGCTGAATGTGGGTTATAAGTAAATGTTCTTTTCTAATCCATTAGGAGTGGACAGTTTTGTGTCATTAATCATACAATGGGTGCTCTGTGAATATCCAAACTATTGACAACAAAACAAATTAGTTTCACTGTGTAATTTATGAAGAAAATATGAGTATGTTTGAATTGTCTTTGCTGTTTTAACTATTTATTGAGGTCCTTTAAATTATCATTATATATTAAGATTATATTTCAAGAGATTACATTATTTTCTAGTCTTCCATAGTGTATTTGTTGTACCTAATGTAAAAGTTGGCAGGTCTCTATTTAATAATGTGTATATTCTAATTTGTTTTAGCATGACACGCTTTTGAAAGTTGTATACCACAGCATATTGTGAAAAAAATATTATCTTCCATACCTAGGATGCATTTGACATTCTAATATATTATGAATTACCATACATTTGGGGATTTACCAAAACATGTCCAATTCAGAGCAGCTTCAGTATGAAAGGGTGTTTCATCTGGAGAGAAATGTTGTTTATAATGTACATTTAGAACCTTTACAGGATTATAGGGCATATATTTTGTTGGAATTTTTCCCCTTTAACTAAACAACTGTTATGTTTATTTCCCTGACGTAGATGAAAAATTATACAATACAATAATAATACATATAACAAAGCAGTCCATAAAACAGACCAAGGTTGCCACAAACCTATGATGTTATCTTTGGAACGACAAACGCAGACCTCAGTGCTTAGTAAGATGGGAACAAGACTGAAAAGTTTTGTTAGAAAAATGTGATCCCACTGGTCAGTTTGTTCCTTACCTGCCTGTATGGAACTCAATCCCCCCTGCTATAAGCATCTTCTTTTATCCTATATGGCTTCCTATAGTATAGAGTCAAGCACAGTCTGTTGCAAACAACATAAAATAAAAATCTTGCATTTTAAATCTTATCCATCCATCCATCCATTTTCCGTCACTTTTATCACAGCTGGGGACGCAAGGAGTCCTGTCAACACAGAGACACACAGGACAAACAACCATTCCGCACACGATCACATGTAAGAAGAATTTGGAGAAGCCAATTAACCTATCAGTCATGTTTTTGGGCTGTGGGAGGAAGCCAGAATACCCGGAGAGAACACAGGCATGCTCAGGGAGAGCTCCATGCAGAAAGACCCTGGGCTTGGAATCGAACCCAGAACCTTCTTGCTGCAAGGCAACAGTTCTATCCACTGGTGCACTGCGCAGCCCCCTTTTTAAATCTTATTTTAATAAAAACGTCACACTTTCAGCAGGGTTTATCCAGTTAGGTGGCTGAAGATTCAAGCACACTTCAGTCTCTGCATACAGAGCAGGCCTGAAACATTTGCTTTGACTCATCAGTCCACGTTCTAATAGTTCTAACCACAAGCTTAGAAGTATTTAATTTTCAATAAGTTGGAATGAGATGAAGGAATGAGCAGGAAAATAAGTCTCTGTGGTAAACCCTGTCTACTTTGTTTTACTGCAGTGTTTAATGAGCACTGACTAATACTGTTATCCAAACCATAAAATTCTGCCAGCATTTAATGAGATCAAGGATAAAAAATGCTGAGGCATGCATACATCAGTAATCCCATTTTCCCCGAGTCTTTTAGGCAGCATACTTAGTACTCAAATTAAGGGGGGATTAGGGGGGTGGCATCCCCCTTCTTAAAAAAAATCTTAAAAATCATCCCCCAATACCATCCCCTGTGACATTTTATCACTGAATGTGTAAATTTCTATTATATATTTACAGTAATGGCAATAATACTGCCCCTTTCAACATTTGGCGGGCTGTGGAATTACGAGTAGCGCACAGCGTACTCATTCATATGTCAATCTGTTTTCTCATCAATGGGCGTGAGTTTAGGGCGATGTGTGCTCCCGTGACCGGGGAGGTGATTCTCGGCAGGCAGGTAGCCTGCCAGTCAAGGGACTGACTGCAGTTCTACTGAAAGGTGCCTTGGTCAAGGTCAATGGCAAGCTAGTATAAACATGTTTTGTTTGGGAAGGGAAGTAATGATCAACATCTACAGTATGACAGCAGCCATGGTCAAATATCCTGGTTGTTGTTTGCCACAGAAATAAAAAAGAAAAAGGAAAAAAATCATCTAAGACAGCATCTAAGACAATTTCACAGTCTCTATCAACATTTTCTGATCTGTCGTAATCTAAGATTGTCATACCATCCAGCCCTTGCTTGAGATCCTTTAAGATGTATTTGATACTCAGACACATGTCAAGAGTAAGGAATGACCATGACAGTGTTCACCAAAGAGCACAGTTTTGGTGTTTTAGATTCTTTTAACCATGCAAATTATATTTTTTTTTAAAATATTATCGGATTCCTGATTTTGCTTTCATTGGAAACGAAAATAAAGCACAGTCGGTGTACTTGATTGCCAGGGTAGAAAATAAGTCAAATTCCTACTGTATGACTGTAAAAACTGTTTTGTCACTCCATTCCATGCTCTTCCAGCCTGACGCCATTTCGTCTGATATGACACCCATATGTCTGATCTGCTGGGACTTGTTCCTTCCTTAGATCATATTCTTTATCTTTCCTGAATCTTCCTGTGAGATACTTTTTATCTTCCTCCTTGCCTCCATAACTTGCACAACACTAAAAACAATGCACGGTTTCCTTAGTTATTAGGGTCACACACTGCCGTTAAGAACCTGCAATTTACTGACTTCCATAAAGCTGTTGTGTTTTATAAAATAAGATTTTTTAAATGCATAAGGTTTACTCCTATACTAAAATGTATTTCATTTCTATACATTATGGCACAATGTGCCTTGGATTATATTTTTACAGTTTTTACATTCAGCTCCCCTTCTCAGACTGATGTTCTTGCAATGTGCTATCAAACCTAAATCTATGAGTTTCAACTCCCATCCATAGACTCAAATGTAAATGAAATCAAGACAAAACATCCATGGTCCACATTAGAGTGAATAGTGATTGATTAATGTCGGTTAATTAATCCTAAATGATACTTTGTCCCCCTCAGGTGATGCCACGGTGACGATTGCTCACAGGTGTACACCACAGTATCGGTTGAAAGAGTTGAGTCTTCTGGCTGACATCATCATTGCAGCAGCAGGTAATTACAGTTAGGTAGGATGAAACTCCTCTGTGGAAGATGGCTTTCTGATACTTGTGCTGTTGACATTGTTTTGTGATAACTTTTCGTCACGCTTATCCCAAGCGGAGGGGTCCTGGTGCCTATCTCCAGCTGTCTATGGGGAAGAGGGGGGTACAGTACAACCTGGACAGGTCGCCAGTCCATCGCAGGGCAACACAGAGACAAACAAAATAAACAACCATTCATGCACACACTCACACCTACTGTAAGCAAAATTTAGAGAAGCCAATTAACCTAACAGTCATGTTTTTGGACTGTGGGAGGAAGCCGGGGTACCCGGAGAGAACCCATGCATGCTCAGGGAGAACATGCAAACTTGGAATCGAACCCGGAATCTTCATGCTGTAATGCAAGAAGGTTCCACGCCACTGAGCAGCCAGAATATGCATTACAGAAACAAATATTCATTTTATTAAGAGAATATGCACAATCTTAATAAAATTATTTTTTTTGCTGTAATGTCCATCCATCTATTACTGCTTGTCTTTTATGGTCATGGGGGTCTTTCCTGCAGTCATTGAGCAAAGGGCTGGGTAAACCTTGATCAGGTAACCAGACCATCACAGAAAAACATACGGACACACAAAGATGCACACATCTGGGGGCAATTTAGAGTTACTAATCAACCTAGCAGTCATGTCATTTTTCAGTCATGTTCATGTTATCAATAATTTCCCCCCATAGTTTCCTAATTTGCATATAAGGAAATATGTTGGCTAGACCTGTACAAAATAGGAGAGATTGTGAAAAAGGCTTGCCAGCCCTTACTTGAACAGCTCTTGTTACAGGCTGCCTTATTAATGAAGACATTTCTCAGTAAATATCTGTCTCACTGCCCTGTCACTGGTTTCAAGTTACTCTGTTTTTAATGAAGAAAAAAACAGTCTAATAAGTTTGGAATGTGAAACCACAAATGAAGAGAAACACTACCATAAGACGGTTTAGTTCACTGGGTGTTGCTGGGGTCACCATTGTTTGTATTAAAAGATTCTTTATTTGTTGAAGAATAGATGGAAACGAAGAGGCAACATTGTTTTAGGTCTCTTAGCAACTCTTTAAACAATGAGGCAAATATTTGCTCATCTTTATAGTCAGAAAGGGTTTTTTTAATCTAAACCTGTCCATCTTAACAGATAGAGCAACGATCAAAAGGTAATTACCATGGCAGGTACCAGTTTAATACCTGGAACTTATATGACTGGGCAAAGACCCATGTGTATCTTCCCATCATACACAGGTAGCAGGATGGTAGACAGTGGGGATTTCTGATATTATTCATCATGATTCAATACTCAAGGCAACACTGGTTTGTTTGGGATTTTGATTTTTGATTTTGAGTGGCAGCCTAGTTGTTAGGGCATAGAGCTTGGTATCCTGAGGTTGTGAGTTAAACCTCCACTGGTTCTCCGAGCAAGACCCTTAACCCCTGTTTCCTCCCTGGGCACTGCACAGTGGCAGCCCACTGCTCCCCAAAGGAGATGAGTTAAATGCAGAGTTAATTTCTCAGTTGTGAGATCAATAAAGTTCAATTAAATGCTGATTGGTTAGCCAGTATTTTGCATGGAACTAAGAACATATAAATGTGCTGGCGTTGCTAATCTGATTTACAGCTTTAAATTTGGGACTTTTTTTTAATGTTTATGAGAACTCCACTTTGCATTTGATGCTTTTAGCCCACAGACTAAAATAAATTGACTCATTTTACGCTACACTGAGAATTTTCATAGTGCAATTTGATATTTACAACCTTTTTCTTTAGGGATTGCCCAATTCAACATGTTCATTCCTGATATATAACCTATGATGCAGCTTTGAATAATGACTGATATTGATATTAACCCAATATATCAGCACAAATCATGCATGACTTTTAGTATGCATTTTGTGCATGTTTTGGCTTATATCAGACCACTTTCTGGTACCAATATTGGGATAGCCCTACTCTTTGTTTGTTTCCTTTGAGAAAACAAAAACACATAGAAAATAAGTTAAATAAATCAGTATCACTTTAGCTTTTTCTAAAGAAAGGACCCACCCAGAGACACTTTAAGCAAGCTTGAGGGTTATATAATTCATAACAACTAGGCAAGGCAAGGCAAGTTTATTTGTAAAGCACGTACAAGAACAATTCAAAGTAAAATAAAGTAAGCAATAAAATAGGAGTAAGATAAAAGAAGAATAAAAGCAAATAAAGATAAAACACATTTGAAGCAGCTAGTAAAGCAAATAAAACATTTGGGTCAACAAGTTTAACTAATGATACCTTAGTTAGCAGTTTACCTTCAACAGCCAAAGGCAGCTCTACGAAAATAGGTTTTTAACTTTGACTTAAAGGAACTCAAGCTTTCAGCACCTTTACAGTCTTCTGAGAGTTTGTTCCAGATAAGAAGATCATAGGAACTAAATGCTTCTTCTCCATGTTTCATTCTAGTTCTGGATGTACAGGGTAGGCTGGAACTAGAATACCTGATTGGTCTGGGAGGTTGATAGACTGAAAAGAAATCTGTTATGTATTGAGCTGCTGATCCATTCAATGGATCAGCAGCTCAATACACTTCATTATAAACCTATGAAGAGGCTTTTGCAGTAATGAACTCTACTAAAGATAAATGTACAGCATCAAAATGCAAATAAAACCTTGCTTATTTACATCAGACAAGTTACTTGTTGGGCCGATGCTGATATTTTAAAAACCAACTAACATGTCGGATACTAATGTCCATACCTACAATTTGTGCATCACCAGTTGGGGGGAAAAAAGACTAAAGATATTTTAGATTCCCCTTTATTGATATATGTACATTTTTGTTTCCTTGTTGGTTAGGTGTTCCCAGTCTGATTACAGCAGACATGGTGAAAGAGGGTGCAGCTGTTATTGACGTTGGCATAAATCGCATCCAGGATCAGAAAACAGGGGCGGTTCGTCTCATCGGAGATGTGGACTTTGAGGGTAAAACAAATAATAAAAGTTACCCAGATTGCCTCAGCAGAGGATATTTCCTAACACCTTGACATGAGCAGCATACCATTGTGAATAGAGGAAATTGCTTAACACCATATCATGTTTCTGATTTTTTGTTATAGGAGTAAAGGAGAAAGCTGGTTTCCTAACACCTGTCCCTGGAGGTGTGGGTCCCATGACTGTTGCCATGCTTATGAAAAACACTGTGACTGCTGCCAGAAACGCACTGATGCATTAAAAAGCATACACCCTTCAGTTAAGTTTGGTTTACAGAGAGGAAACAGCTTTTAAAGATGCAATAGGCTGCATACAGTTCAATGCAAACTCGGATACCAATCCTTCGAGTAACCATGCTACACACGTCAACATCTATGACCTCAAGATCTTATACCTGCCTGGAAACCTACTTGATATGTACTATCTTTATGTCCTTAATTATTGTTCAATTTGTTGTTTTAAATAAGATTTTGCTTTTTACAAGTTATATGGATATTTTTTCTACTGCAGTGTTCAATTTTATTAAATATGCTTTAAATTAACTGTAAAGAAGACATAATAAAGGTCAGTGGCACAGTGCTCATGTTTATTTTTGGATTATTTACATTTTCTTAAATGTTTTTTTTATCGCATTCATTGGAAACATATCTAAATGTAATCTTATTTGGCAAAACTAGGCCTTCATTTTATACTTTTGGTCTTGGAAAACCAAAACGAATGTTTCCTAATGAAATTGGTTGTCTTATTTAATAAGGTATATATCTGAAGATTCTTGGTCATCCAAGTCATGGTCAACCTTGAAAAGTTCAGTTTAGGCAACTGGGTGTTAAGTTTCCTAGAAGACGTTTCACCTCTCATCCCAAAGGCTTCCTCAGTTCTAACTGGCGGTTCTTCTAACTGAAGAAACTCATTGCTTTTCATAAATCCACCTGTGACACAGCCAATCAGCTTTGAACCACACCCCCATGAAAGCCAATCGGCATCCTAAGTTCATCTTTAAAGGCCTCCAATACGCACTTGTCTGCTCCTGTGCGCAGGTGGCGGATGCACTGTGACTTCATTTAGATGACACAGTTTCAACCCACCTCCAGCCCCTCCTCCACCATCATAGCTAAAGCTTAACCATGGTGTGAGGGGTCATTGATGATGTTACGGGCCCAGGACACGCAGCGCTGGGATAAAATTTATTTTATGGAGGAAAAGAGGGGCCCCAATCATCCTTTCTGCTGTTCTTACTACTCTCCTCACCTTCTTCCAGTCTGAGGCTCTGCAGCCTCCACACCACACAGTGAGACAGCTGATCAGAATGCTCTCTATGGTGATTCTGTAGAAGGTTGTGAGGATGGGTGGGTGCAGGTTGGTGTTTCTTATCTTCCGCAGGAAGTACAAGTGTTTTTGTGCCCTTTTGACCAGTGAGGTGGTGTTTACAGACCAGGTGAGATTGTCTGTGATGTGCACCCCTTGGAATTTGGTGCTGCTGACCACCTCTACAACTGAGCTGCTGATGAGCAGTGGAGCGTGGTAAGGCCGTTTCTTCCTGAAGTAGACAATGATCTTTTCGTCTTCTCCACATTTAGGATCAGGCTCTTATCTTTGAACCAGCCCACCAGCTGCTCCACCTCCTCGCTGATGTCCTGGTTGTTGTTGTCTCTGATGACAACAACCAGCCATGGTGTCTTCTGCAATGTTCAGGATGTTATTGGTGGTGAAGCTGGGGACGTAGTCATGTGTCATCAGAGTGAACAGCAGGGGGCTCAGGACGCAGCCCTGAGGGGAGCCTGTGCTTAGGGTGATGACATCAGAGGTGTTCTGTCCGACCTGGAATGACTGAGGTCTGTTTGTGAGGAAGTCTAGCAGCCAATTGCAAGTCCAGCTGTTCCAGTTTGCCAATCAGATGCTTGAATGATGGTGTTGAAGGCTGAGCTAAAGCCCAGGAACAGCATCCGCACGTGGTGATTCTTCCCCCCAGGTGTGCCAGGCTCAGGTGAAGAGCAGAGGAGATGGCGTTCTCAGTGGCGCGGTTCCGTCGGCAGGCAAACTGGAATGGGTCGAATGTTGCGGGAAGACTGGAGGCGATGCATTCTTTAACCAGCTTTTCGAAGCACTTCATCATGATGTGAGTCATGACAGGCCGGTAGTCATCAAATGAGGTGATCTGAGGCTTCTTTGATTGATGGGGTCAGACTTGCACATATTTACATATTTGCACTATGGAATGTCTGTGAGGACACCGGCCACCTGACCTGCACACTCCTCGTACATCTGCCCAGGTAAGTTATCGGGGCTTGGGGCCTTTCATGGGTTGTCTCTCCAGTCTTCCGCACATCAGCTGTGTCAATGCGGAGTGCCTCCTCTCCCTGATGTGGAACGGCTTTCACTGGTGGAGTGCTGTTTAGTGCCTCAAACCTTCCAAAGAAGTTGTTCAATCCATTTAAGAAGTCAGCATCAGCTTAACCCACTGGGGGGAGGTTGTGTTGTAGTCTGTGATCACCCGTATGCCTTGCCACATCCTCTTGGTGTAGCTGGCATCATGGAAGAGTTCCTGGATCTGCCGGCTGTGGTTCTGCTTCGCTGATCTGATGGCATGGTTAAAGTTGGCACTCTCTGTCCTCAGGGCCTCTTTATCAACAGATCTGAAAGCTTAGTTCTGTGCTTTTAGCGATTTCCGAACCTCTCCATTCATTCAGGGTGGTTGGTTGGCCCTGGTGGTGATGTTCTTTTTGAGGCAAATGTCTTCTAGAAAACTTCAGATCAAGTTGGCAAAAGTAAACTATTCAAGCAATAATGTCTATGTTTAAAAAGTGGGGGAAAAAAACTCAATTTTCTCATTGTTTTATAGAAACAAATGCATTTGACACACTGAACTCCCGTTCTAAATCAAAACCCAAGCCAAAATTGATCAGCTCCTCTATGATAACAATCAGTATGGAATGAATAAAAAATAGTCTGATTAAAAAATAAGCAATGTCTGTTTTATTAATTTCAAGCTCAAATACTTCAATTCAATTAAGAAATATGATATTGATCCAAAAAGAACGTTTGATAACAAAATGAATTAAACAATATTTGCTGTTCAAACTAAAGGAAGAAATACTATTTAATACTTGTTGTTACTTTGTATCAATAACACAGTTTTACGGTTTCTGAAAACTGCGATATGTTCTGTGTTCTAATGGAGTCCACCCATTCCTGGCACTGTGAACAGATATTCGAGCTCCCAACCTTTGGACTGCATTCCAAGCTTTCTTTTCTTTTCTTTGTTTTTTGCCGTTGAACTGATCTCACAATTTTTCGCCAATTTTTTGATCCTGTGGGTCTGAAAGTAAGATGCTGCTCTCCAGCTGTTGTGTTTACGGTTCTTTTTTTGTAGAATAATATATATTTGCATTGCTGCATGGTAACATGACCTTTTCAAATATTTTCATGCATTGGAATTGATTCATGTTTCCTTGCTGACAATAAACAGTTCTCACAATGTAGTATTGAGAATGTTCATATCATAATTTCTGAGCCCCCATGCTTAACAATGTCCCCGGCCTTGAACTCAGTGATTGGAAATCTTTTGATCATCTGTCTGCATCCAGTAACAAATAAAAATGTATTAATACTGCTTAACTTCTCAATCAGTGTGTTAATATGTTCTATAACAAACCGTAACCTTACCAACATGCTGGGGGTCTTTTTCACTGTGGATTTTACTATCAGTTTAGCTTTACATAGGTGTTACCTAATGGTTGCACTATTCACAGGTCCCTGTGTGGCAGCTGATCACTATTTTTTATTTATATATATTTTTTGCCATTTTAGCGATTCTTCAATCCATTAGAATGCTAGTTTAACAATTTCCTCACATCTCTCTGATCGTGGTTTCAATTTGAACAGATTTTTATTTACTTTTATATATGTTGTTTGATCTCCAATCAAGTTTGTTTTAAGAGTGCTGGACAATTGAACTTTTTTCCACTTGCAGTTAAAAAGCAATCATTGTGTAGAACATTTGCTGCCATACTGTAGTCCCAAGAAAAGGGGTGCCTTAATTTTACAGGATTAATGAAATCACTTAATTAAATGCGTAATTAAATAGTAATATCACTTCATAAAAACTCCCACCTGGTCACCGGCGCATCGTTTTCTATATTTACATCAAACAGCAGTACGCTTGAAAATAACACCGGTTAAACTTTTAGACTTGGACAAACTTTATTGTCATTTTGTACCCACAGAGTGTATACAAAATGAAATTTCATTTAGTACAGCTCTCAAGACATTTACATTTCAAGTGCAGCATTGATAAAATGTAAATGGTGATCAAATGTAAACATAAGACTGGTAAAGGATTTACAGTTTTTCCAACATTCAGCACTTTTATTTTTTTCCATTTTATTCATCATTCAGCAGTCTAATGGCAGTGGGAACAAGTTGTTTTGGAATCTGCTGGAGCTGAATCAGATGGAGGGAAGAGGAGCCCCGATCATCCTTTCTGCTGTTCTAACTACTCTCCTCACCTTCTTCCAGTCTGTGGCGCTGCAGCCTCCACACCACACAGTGAGACAGCTGGTCAGAACGCTCTCTATGGTGCTTCTGTAGAAGGTGGTGAGGATGGATGGGGGCAGGTGCGCTCTCCTCATCCTTCACAAGAAGTACATGCACTTCTGTGCCCTTTTAACCGGTAAGGTGGTGTTTGCAATCCAGGTGAGTGTGTCTGTGATGTGCACCCCCAGGAATTTGGTGCTGACTGGAGACGATGTGCTCTTTAACCTGCCTTTGGGAGCACTTCATCATGATGGGACTCAGTGCTACATGCGTGTAATCATTGAGTGAGTTGACCTAGGGCCCCTTTGGGACCGGACTAATGGTGGCAGACTTGGAGCATGTTGGCACTATGAATTGGTCCAGCGAGGTGTTAAAAATGTCTGTGAGGACATCAGCCAGCTAATCTGCCCACATCTTCTGCACCCGCCCGGGTTTGTTACCGGGGCCTGGGGCCTTTCTTGGGTTGACTCTCCTCAAAGTCTTCCCTACTTCAGCTATGTCCAGGTTTAGTGCCTCCTCACCCTGGTGTGGAACGGCCTTCACTGCTGGAGTGCTGTTTAGTGCCTCAAATCTTCCTATGAAGTTGTTCAGTTCATTTAGGAAGACAGCGTTTGCTGCATCTACTGTGGGGGAGGGTGTGTTGTAGTCTGTGATCACCTATATGCCTTGCCACATCCTCCTGGTGTTTCTGGCGTAGTGGAAAATATCCTGGAGTTTCTGGCTGTGGTTCTGCTTCGCTGATCTGATGGTACGGTTTAAGTTGGCACGCTCTGTCCTCAGTGCCTCTTTATCACCAGATTTGAAAGCTTAGTTTTGTGTTTTTAGCGATTTCGAAACCTCTATATTCATCCAGGGTCTTTGGTTGTTAGCCAAGCCAGGCTAATAGCATTGTCTGGTATTGCTGGATGCAGCTAAGATTCAGTCAAAATGATGGAGCAACAGAGTTCGTCTGGAAACCGTGAGCACCAAAGCACAACTGCACGTTAAATCAGAATTTCAAAAATAAAGCCACGAATTCCTACCTTTGAAGCATTCCTGAGACCATATTATAAATTCAATCTTAGTTTATTTATATTCCATTTGTCCGTAAGGGTCCACAGATAAAAAGTAATCCATTATATTTGTAATAAGAACATTCCATGATGAGAAAATAGAATCTGTTCTTTACCATCAGAAATTTTCGATTGTCTTGCAAATTGCCAAAGCTTTCAAAGAAATTTCTGGTCAGTGTTGGGTATGTTTGTTTTCCTCACCTCCCAGCCTAAAAAAACAAATTGTATATAAAGAAGGTTTTTAGGGTGAACCATGGGCTAATAAAGTCTGATGAACCAGAACCATATATTTTATCTTTTTATCCGTATCTTATACTATTTACGTCAATTTAATCGATATTTTCATGCCTCACCAAATAAAAACAAAAACTAGCTACCTCACTGAGACAAAAAATGCAAACAAAAGAAACAGGCAGCATGCATACTTAGTTATATATTTCATTTACAACAGTCATATTTGCAATCTAACAACAGAGTTTGTGGTCATCATAAAGCTTTGAAAAGAAGAAGAGGTTTTTGCAGTTTAGGCACCCAAGCAACTTTGATTTATATAAAAAATATAATTCTGAGTCAAATGGCCAAACTCCAACAACCCAGGGGAAGAAAGGATAGGTGCCTTGACTCGCATCTGACTTGGAATGTGCTTAGAAGGATGGGCCTGTCAGGTGCTTAAAAACATCAGTGCACCAACTACCGGCTGCTCTTGAAGGAGATCTGACAGAAACATCTGGATAGATAGCAATACGTTTTGAGGGGGAAAAAAACTGAGCGATGGTCCTATTGCCTCTGATTTAAGGCTGTTTTGTGGTGACTTCGTAGTGCAAATTATTGCTGTGGCTTACAAATCCAGAAAACATGCTAGATATATATCAAGAAAAATAACCTCAGATTGTTATGTGGGGGAAAAAAAGGCTAGACAAATTCAAAAGACTGAAATTAAGTGGGGAGTAAACAACTCCAATGCCTAGTTTAAAAATAAAAATATAACCATAGTTTTCTATGGTTCTATGCCTTTTGATGCTCTAGGCGGTTTAATAACTTTAAAGCAATCTAATATTTTTTTTTATCTGCAATTTTTGGACAGAGCAAATGAGGCAGACATAGAAAAGAGTCTAGCCAGAAACTCTCTTTTGTTATCTCATCTCTGAGGAAACTGGGTGTTTGCAACACATGTAACTGTCAGTGGAGTCGCCTTTATCAAACTTAAAACACATACTTGTGGTGAACTCTCAAACTGCCCCAAGGCTTGCGTAGGTGCTTCTTTAGAATGCCCTTAGGGAGCCGAGTGAACACGTGTTCACCACTATCACCCTTGCCAGTGATCAACCCACAGCTTTGCCTCTGCATGTAGTCAGGAAAGGCAGGTGAAAGGAATGATGCAAATGATTTTTTTTTTTTTTTCGGAAGGAAATACCTTTCTTTGTTGAAGAATTGGCAGGTCTTTGATTGGCCATGAATTTTCTTCTGAGGATCGGAGCAGGATATATAGTCTGAACAGACTCCTAAGAAGGCAGAAGACATTAAGCAGAAAACATCAAAGTGGAAGAAAGACAAGATGTCCACACAAAGACAGACGTACCTAGAGAAAGGTGAGTTTCTGGATTATTTTTTAGACAATTACTATGACAATTACTGTCATATGACAATAATTCATGATTTTCATGTATGACAGTGGAACAACAGTTATTGACTACTTTTTAAAACCTTTTTTTTCTTTTTTACAACAAATATAGAAAAAAAAGTACAGAAACTAAACCGTCTGTACCCTATAAACCAATATTAACTCCAACACATGTTTTTATTATTCCAGCATTCTCCTTTACAGTGACAGTGCTACTTCTGCTGGCCACAACTGGATTTTCTGAGGTATTGGATGAGAGCACTATGACCACTGAATCACCCCTTCCTCAAAATTCATCTACAACAGAGCAGGTCGTAAAGAGTAAGTGTCATTCTTAGTCATATTGAGCAGTTTATATAATATCATTAGGCAATAAGTCCCATAAATTTGTTTAGTAAACAATTTTTTTATGGAACCAGTTAACTCCTTTCTCACCATAACCATGATGAATAACTAATTCAGAATTAGTGTATTTAAGAATCAATCACTTTAGGAAAGTTTTTTTTTATTTTATTTTTATTTATTTTTTTTTACAGTTATTAGCTAAAATGTGTCCTGTTTCCTTTTTCTTGTCATTTTTTTGGCTCTTCTATTAGTTTTATGTTAAAAAGTGCTTACACTGAGTAGTTGCAGCAGAAAAGAGCCTCTGTTAATCTTAGCATAAAAATGATTACATGATTGTCATAGTGTTCTCCTCTACATTCTTTTTCTACAGGGAGCTTGGGCCACTCTACTGTCATGCATTTAGTTAGGCCTTGTGGAGAAAAAAATGCCAATTTTTGTTTAAATGGGGGGAAATGCATCCACCCCCAAGACAGCAACAGTCCTCATTGCAAGTAAGCACACAACTGATGCCCCACCTGTTCTGGTGTATTAGCAACCATTTTGCACATGTTGGTTCATGTTTGCATTAGGAATGCGCTGACATATTTCTCTGTTCTGCAGCTGCGCACCTCTATACTATGGCCTACGATGTGAGAAGATTAAACTTTCGCCTTCAGTTAAAGATCCTGATATTGAGAAGAAGATTGCCATCATCTTTGGGCTGATCGTAGTCTTCATTGTTTTGGCTCTTGCCATCTTCTGTTTTGTAAAGAGAAGGTGAGTAACTCTGGGATTTCATATTAATGTGTTTGACAGAACAGAAAGTCTTGGTTGTGAAGAGGCCTGTTGTAATATAATAATAAAAAAAGACTTCAATAGCTTGTTAGAGTTGTAAATTAAGATTCACAGTCACTATAGGGTTTGTATCTTTTTTACTTTAGAATAAAAAGTAATTTTAAATTCTGACATTTTATTTTTTTCAGATGTGAACATTCAGCCCCTCTGATTAAAGCTGCAGCGTCAGAGACTTCGGTGTGAAATCATCGACCCTCATCACCATATTCCTACAGAACTTGAACTAGATTTTATTTAATAATATAAAACCACCATTCACGTTTAGAATATTTTGTTTTTGCTTGATGCAGACTGAATTTAAAATAACATATGTCAAAGTGAATTCTAAATTCTGTTCTAACTATTTTAAGGAAATTACCATTTCTGTAATAGTATTTTCTTTCATAGACCTGTTGGAAAACTCCTTTATTTATAATAATTCTATTTTCATTAAGTTATTTTTCTTATTTTTGTACTGATTGTTTCAAATAAATTATTAAAAATAAGCAAGTTTTACTATTGAAAGCTCGTACTCTATTCAGTATTTTTCAATGGTAGATAACACCACAGTGTTAAAAAATAGATCTTGCTAAATAGCATATTTTACAAGTTTGTTTACATAAATAATTATTTTATAATAATAATATGAATACATTGAAAAACTTTGAATGAGCCTAAAAACATTTTTTTTCAGCTTCGTATCTGAAAATGCCAAATAAAAATGCATCAATCTGTAAAACCATCTTTAAATATAATACACTGTTTACATCCCAAATAATGAAATGCATAAACAAGTGTCATCAGTCACAATTCTATTTAGATTTCAAATCTTTTTTTAAAGGCTCCAATTCAAACAAATCCCACATTGATGAATTGTCAATTGCACACATTTCAATTTGATCCTAGTTATAACACCGTGCCATTTAAGTTTATTATTTCCGAATGGTTAAAACAATGCAGCGAAGGAAGTCCAGAGGACTGCTTTGATTCACTGACTTTGCAGCAACCCTTGCTGCTAAACAGGCATGTAGTGGACAGTTCATGCAATATGTTTTTAACTTTGCAGCATTTGTGCTGAACATGCATTTGGTGACGCTGGGAAGAAAAAAAATCCCTTTTAGGGGAAAAAACACACAAACTAAGCATCTCTCTGAAATGAGTTTTTGGAACTTGGGATGTCTGTGGTTGTAGTGGAGGCGACGGCAAACTGAGCAGTGAACATGATGTCAGTGCGGCTGAGGAGAGACATGGCGAGAGAGATGAGAGCAGAGAGCAGGAGGAAATAGATTACTTTGCCCGTCCTGATCCTTGTCTTTTACAAATCTTTTTTGAATCACCACCCACAACAAAGCACAAAAAATCCAGTTGTGCAAAACGTTTTCACCACTAAAAATGCAACCAACAGAAGGTGTCTCACATATTGTGAGAAACGTCATGCTTTATTTTGTTTTGTATGTATTGCATTTGGAAAGACTACTGACACAAGCTCATTTATTACTGGGATGTCCGATTGGAGGCATGTGCACCAGCGCACAGAAGAGCATGAGAAGAGTAGCGTAATTTGTGTGGTTGACTGTGACTTTTCTCTCTCTCTCTCTCTCTCTCTCTCTCTCTCTCTCTCTCTCTCTCTCTCTCTCTCTCTCTCTCTCTCTCTCTCTCTCTCTCTCTCTCTCTCTCTCTCTCTGTCTCTCTCTCTCTAGCAATTGTTGCTGTGCTGTGGTGGAGTTTACATTTTACAGTGTTAATAAATTAAGATTTTGGAAGTATTTTAAGTGTCCAGTCTCACTAATTTCCATTAACCTGGCCTCAAGGTATTGCACAGTTGGTATACACATTCAGTACACCAAAAATAAATGTGGTGGGCCAGTCTAGTCCAAAATGCAAGGGCCATTTTTTTGTCCCAGTCCATCCCTGACCATAACCATAATCTATAAAGCGCCTATTAATAATCTGGAGCATTTTAAATTAAAGAGCCCGTCACTGATATGTTTAGACGTAAAAACAAGTCTGGCGATGCAGACTTCATGTCTTGAAACTCTATTTTGTGGTACCATAGTGATAACAATAAAAGGGAGGATTAAACAATTATGATAACCTCTTCTCAGTCTTTCTTAGGTAACTGTATAGCTATAGTTAAAACCAAGGCTCCATAAATACTGCTGTTTAAAAACTACGCAAATTTCAAATTGGCTTCTTCAGGACACCAGCTACATAAAAAAAAAGTGATTTACACCATTTAACATCCCATAGTGACCACATTTGATCATGTTCATCAAACTTGTCAATCACCCAAGTGGAAAACAAAAAAGAAGAAAAGTAAAAATAAATAGTTTGACCATACATTTTTTAGAGCCTTTTAAACATAATTAATTTAAATTAATCATCTAGACAATAAATCAAAATTCTTATCATGACAAGAAATTTAGTATAATCATTAATAACGAGAAACGATAGTATGAATGGCCACCCATACAAGACAAACACCTACCACATTGCAAAGACTGGACAAAATTCAAAATAAATTAAGGTTTAGCAGAGCTACTGCAATGTTAAGCCTCCTTTAAACAGTGCAATTCTAGGAAAAAAATGCTCTAAAATAGCTGCTGCCCGTGTTCTTACTAGATATAAGAAAGTAGAGCATATCAGCCTGCTTATGAAGTCCTTCCACTGGCTTCCTGTAGCTCAGAATATAGACTTTAAAATCCTTCTGTTAGTCTATAAATCACTGAATGGATTAACACTTCAATATATATAAAGTAACAGATTTCTTCCTGATGTTATTAGGTACAAAGGTTTTATTAGTTTAAGGTTGTGATCCAATAGTTTTATTTGTTATACTCATGTATTTGCTTTTCTTCTATTTTTTTTATCTAATTCACTTTGAGTTGTCCACCTACAAATAAACTTGCCTTGCCTTACCTGAAACTAATGCAAATCAACCCAATACATCCCGGATCTTTATTTTAATCTTCAAAAGAAAAGGAGGCTAAAAACCACACACACACACATATACACTCACCGGCCACTTTATTAGGTACACCTGTCCAACTGCTCGTTAACACTTAATTTCTAAGCAGCCAATCACATGGCGGCAACTCAGTGCATTTAGGCATGTAGACATGGTCAAGACAATCTCCTGCAGTTCAAACCGAGCATCAGTATGGGGAAGAAATCTTTATTGTACCTAATAAAGTGGCCGGTGAGTGTATATATATATATATATATATATATATATATATATATGTGTGTGTGTGTGTGTGTGTTTTAAATACATTCTTTGAGGAAAATAAACTGTAGATACCTTGATTATAAACCCTTATTTCAACATTCACAAAATTAAGCAAGTAGTAAGAAGGCATGCCCGTGGAGCGTGATGAAACTGCTGTATTTTGAAAATTCATTGATGTGTGACATCTGTTGTATCCCACGACCTGTAAATGAAGAAAATTACAGGAGTCCCTCACCACACCCACCCACACCTCAGCACTGGGCCCCCGCAGGGTTTCATTCATTGTCTGCCTGAGGAGCCTGAGCTCACAGCTTCTTTTCTTCCTGACAGACACTTGGACAAGTTGGAAGCACTTCTCTATTATAACCCAGACAAGCAGCGGCTCTGAAATGAGGACCTGTAGACCCACGGCACTCCTCTCCTTCATCGGTAAAGTCTTCTTTTTCCACAAATTACATATTAGAGGTGTTTGTTGTTGATATAGATGGCAGGCAAGTCAGAACTCAGCGAAGGGAAACAAGTAGGACAGCCTTGAAGTTACAGACCAGTGTTTAGGAGCACAATCACTCTCTGGGAGTAGACTATAACTGACTCTTCATATTTCAGTTTCAGGATTTTAACAAGCACTTTTATGCCTTGTAAAGTTATGGTTTGGTAGCCTACTCCCATTACTGTTTTTAGAGTTTGATACATTTGCTGTATAATAGTTTATTGTTCATAAAGAGCGGAAAAAAAACAACAACACATATTTTAGACTTTTTTTTTCTTGAATTAAAAGCTGTTTGTAAAATGCTCTGTGCTTTAGCCTAGTTTTCTTGATTCCCATAAGCAATAGGTTCATTATATCCCTTTTAGAACCTATTCTTTCATAATGTAAATCTTTCAATCTCTTACTATCTTTTTCATCTTACTAAAATGGGGGCCTCTCAGAGAGCTTGATTTCTCATCACTACTGACTTTATCTCAATTTATGTTAAATTTATCCAAATGGGTCAGATTTGTATATAGTTATGACTTAGCATCCAAGTTAGGCTCATTGTAACAAATCAGATAACTGGTGTTGTTTGCTTACTGATGATCTGCAATACATAGCTCTCAATACATCTGAAAAAAAAAAAAGTTTTCCATCTTGGAAGTCCAGGGCTGCACTAGGTAACCCTGATATTGGACTAGGTAATCCATATTGGCTTTCAAGACAAAAGGTGTCACAATTGAGTTGTACAACAAAATATAAAAGAATCATTTATAGTCAGAGTAAGACTCACAGTCAGACTTGGCTTTCATTCCCTGTGTCTGATTGTCCTCTATATAGAGCACTATATAGTGATTATGCCATTTTATATGAGAGCTCGATTGTCTATTGGATGAAAAAGTAGGGGACTCAAAATTTCCCACAGTACGCCTTGAAAAGTAGTGTGTAACGATGGGCTGTGCCCAGACGTCCGCCCTAACCCCTAAATCCCTCAATCACTCAGAAAGCATCATGTGATTTGTTTTGGGGGTGAGACAGAACAAAGATGGTGAAGGCACCGTGTGAGCTGGAGACACATCGCCAATTGTGAGTGAAAAGTAGTGATCATCTGTCCGAACAGTCAGTTAACTGAGTTCACTCTAAAGTTCACTATATAGTCCCCACTCTATATAGTGATTGAAGGGTTAGGGGTTAGGGCGGATATTTGGACAAAGGCATTGTCAAGTTTGCACACATAAATCTACTATAGGTAAATCTACTATATATATATATATATATATATATATATATATATATATATATATATATATACAACTTAAATAAAAAATATTTGCATGTATATAAAAATATATTTCTATTTCATTTGTGTGTGTATATATATATATATATATATATATATATATATATATATATATATATATATACACATTCATCAGATTGACAGATTATTGTGAATGGTGCCCTTTTGCACCAACCTTAATCTAAAAATCTAAACAGTTTGTGTGCGAGCTGTGAGAGTGTCATGCGAAAGACATTTATGCCAGACCATATCTGCATCTGTGCTATTTATTTACAGTTCTGACCAGGGTTGCAACCAACGATTATTTTGCAAATCGATGAGTTTGTTGATTATTAATCAGATAGCCAAAGTTTCCTTAAAGATTACTTTTTACCAAATTTAATCAAACTTTTACAACTGAGGATTTCTGGATAGAGGATATTGACAGATTTGTTTTTTGATTTTAAATGCAAAATGTTTAGGTTTTTTTTTTTACAATGTTGGTTTAGTTACTTGGTTGCTAAAGGCATGTTTTAGAGTCTCTACTCAAGTTAATGATTAATTGTTTACTAAATTAGTTGATGATTATGATCAAGAAATAATTTAATACAATTTCCTGGAAACAGCACTAAACGTAGCTACAAATGTCCACAACAGTGAGCCTTTGTTTTGTCCTTGTACACAGAAAATAACATCCATGCAGCTATAACAACAACTAAAGTAAAATGGACAGTATTTTGCAGCGTTACTAGATTCATATCTTGGATTTAGAACTGTTTGTTTTTTTAACCTGTCTGCTGGAATGTCGGTGCTTTTACATGCTATGTGTTATAAAGCTCTGCAGGTTGGTACAGGCAACGCAAGCTGCTCCACCTCACATCCTGTAGCTGGAAGGAATCTGCAACACCTCTCACTTAACCGGGTTTTTTTCCTTTCTCATTCTGTAACCGCTGGATTTTTCCTTTTAGTTTTTTGCAGTGTTGTATTTCATAAAAACTAATCTCTGTGATCTAATCAACCTTAATAAATACAATCACACAGGAAGTAAATCGTGACAGAAATGGTCTCTACATGTCTACATAGTTTGCACAAGTGGAAATCTGCTCCAGTAAATATCTGTTTTTAATATAAATTAAGTACTTCAAAAGAATACAAAAGAGACATCTTCATCATAAGAAATTAGAGATGTTTGTATTTACAACATGTTGGTGCTGTTAATGCAGCAGATCCCACAAATCTCAGAACTAGTCTATCTGAATTTTCTATCTAACCTACAGAGGCTAGACCTCTAAATGTGCTCAGTTTGGAGAAGTAGATTGATTTGAAGTAATGTTAGGGCTGTTTTAATGTGGATTTCTGCCATTAAAAAGGGAAAAGACACATTTTCTACAGCATTTAAGATAATTCTTCATAAACATTTAAACCCATCACTATTATTTCCATATCAAAGCTGTAGCTCTGTCACTCTCCAAACTCTTTCAGTCCTTCACAGCTCCTTTGGTTGAAGGACAACTCACAATGTCCAAGGACAAGGATTACATAAGTAGCTTGAATCGGAATTTAAGATCACCGGATTCACCTTGAAATGTGAATTATTTTGGGGATTTTTTGAATCATCTCTGTGTTGCACTTCACATTCTGTTTTTTTGCAACGCGTTTCACACAGACCACTTGCCAACACAATGTTTAGTGACAAAAGTGGCTTGATGAAGGTTTGCTAAAATGTATACTTTTAAAACATCTGCAACATGCCGTTGTGGGGACTGGGGTATTTTAAGAAAAAAAGAAATCCCATTGGAAATAGCTCTGCTTAAAAAAACAAAAACTAAAAATTGCCGTTTTCAAGTTGAAGATTTTAAACTCAGAGTAACCCGTCTTAAAACTCACTGGGAGTCCATGAAGCTTACAAGAGACTGTCTGTTATCCTGTTTTTTAACCTCACTCGATAACTTTTGCTTTTTTCTTTATCAGGTGTTGTGCTGATCTGGCCACATGTGCTTACCAAGAGTGTTTCTCACAGTCTACAAACCCCAAAGAGTCCCTCTCTAACTGCAGGTAATAACCATAAGCTGATGTACAACTTTTTTTTGTTCCAATTCAGATATAAATGTTAACATGGTAAACCCTGTACATAGGATTGTACAGTATTTTTGGAAAGTATATTGCAATGCATTTTGTTAACTAGGAGTAATGTATTTATTAAGATGAAATTTAGAACAGTGGAAGTTTTTGATGCTTTAACCTTTACATAATGGAGGGGTCTCAATGCTTGGTTTTATCCCAGAGGCTATGCATGACCCTGGTAGGCTCTCCCTTACCAAGCAGGGTCTGGTGTCTATGTTAGAAAAAAGGGTGGTTAAGAAACATTCTTGAAAAGGAGGATGCTGAAGCAAACAATGTTGTTCCATAAGGCTGCGGCATCACCTCGAAGCTAGGCCAGGGGTCTGCAACCTGCTACTTCAGAGCCACATGTGGCTTTTTGGCCCCTTTAGCATGCCTTTTTTTATGGTGGATAAAAACTATGAATAAGCCAACTAATGGTTTTGAATATAGTATAATAAAAATTACCAATCTTAGAAGCTTTAGCAGGTTTCTTGAGCAAAATTTGAATAATAAATTCACAATAGAAAGGCATTAAAATAACAATAAATATTTTTTAGGTCTGTTTTTCTTATTAGCTTTTTGCTTTTTATTCTTATATATATATATATATATATATATATATATATATATATATATATATATATATATATATATATATATATATATATATATATATATATATATAACTTTTTTACACATCAAATATCTTATAAAAGAAAATGCATGCTTTGTTTGAATGAAACATTGTATGTTTTCCCTTGTTTTAAAACCTTAAAGTATAAAAAAAAATGTTGGCTGTTCAACATGGCAACAGATTTCTTACAGCTAGGTGATAAAAAAAAAAAAAAAGTTGTATTTTATTAAAAGGTTGTTTAAGATTTTCATGTTGCACAACAAAGGTTGCAGACCTTTGACCTAGACATAGCACTGGTGCTCTTTGGCAAGTGTCTGGAAGCTGCAGCAGTGGCCAAAACCCAAAAAAGCAAAGCAAGGTAATTTCCTTAGGGCCACCACCTTCAAGAGGAATCATCTGGGACTCTGGTTAAAAGTATGCAGGCTCGAGGGAGTCAAACCTGCCTCCACTCATAGCCTGGGCTCAGAAACCCAGCTCTTTCAGGGGTACTTGACCATCATCTACTGTGGAGTGGCCCGTGGGGAGAGAAGGGAAGTTGGGGTACGTTTGCTTGCTCCACAAGCTTAGCCGTCTCATGTTGAGGTTCTCCGCATTGGTGAGAGCATCATATCCCAAAGGCTGTGAAAGTGGATTGGTTTAGTGTGGGGAAAAAATGTTTTATTTTTGCTTTTTGCAGATGATATAGTTCCACTGGCTCCTCCTGGCCCTCCTACAGTATAATGAGTGGTTTCAGTACCAAGCGCCAAGTTCAAAATATTTATGTGGCTTATCTTTAACTTTAATTTAACTCTTAATTACAAAAGGGATTTGCATTGATCCCAAAAAGGAAAGTTTTCATTTATGTCAGCAGAAGTATAAACCAGATACATTCATCTTTAATTTGGGTGTTTTACACATATTTTATCAATGTCCATTGTCTCTTTGTCTGTCCTTTAACCGCTTTGACAATATCTAACATACAAATGCTATTAAAGAAAATAGCGTGCATTGCAGGGGTAGTTGTAGTGTTACGTTCACAAAGAAACTTGTTATTTAAATGAAGTTCTGCTCTTACACATGGTTGTTAGCTTCATGTTTGTAATTTTTGATTCCAGTTCTTCATTAAAACCTCTTGAAAAGATTTAATAGATGTTTTAATGTTATGGTATGAGATAATTATTCTTGAAAACCACCTTGTAATCATTTGTTTTATCCTCTTTTGGTGATAGACATAAACATTACTCAAACAAGGATGAGTAGTGTTAGTGGTTCTTGTATGTCTGTTTTTCATTTGACATCATCCACCACAAACAAAACAGGTGGTGAGAATGTGTGTGAATGAAAATGTCACAGACACAAGGGGTGAGGCGTATGCCTCATTGTTCTATTAGCTTTTAATCTTCTGAAAATAAGCACCACAACTGCTGCTATGAGCTAATGTAACAGTTTCCAATTTGGGACTGAACAAAGAAAATGAAACAAGTCTGTATTTATAAAAAATCAGACATTGAAAACAAGCTTGATCATGTACCATTAAGTCAGGTAAGAATACTGTAGCACCACCACATTGTACTTTTACTCACAAAAAGTAAAAAGAAATTACTGACTCTTACCTAAGAGTAAAAAAGCATTTGGTTGCTCATGCACTGGGTAACTAATCTACTCACTGCTCATGATCATAACATCTGATTTAATAGGCTACTTTAAAAATTCTGTAAAGTCACTCACCATATAAAGTTATATGCAAATTCTGGTGTTTAAAAAATTATGTTTGATAAAAGCAAATAAACATATAACATGCAGTAATAATATATAAATCAATTTTATTTTCAATACATTTTATTACATTTTTTGTTAGAAACCCAATAAATCAATATATGCGATGCATAGAAGTTAGAATAGGGCCAGTAATTTCCAGTTACAGAATACAACAAACTGTTTACTGTATTTTTACTCGACATAATAATAACACAACAGGATGAGCAGATAGAAAATAACATTAGACCAATTAAGCTTTTTTGTTTAAAACATGCTTGTTCTTCTCAGAATGAGATTTCTCATTATTGGTGGTGTAGCAGTAGTAGTTAAATGAATGTATAACATTTAGCTATGTTATAAAGTAACTAAACTGTCATGTCCGGCAACCAACAGCTCTAATTTATATCCAATAATGTTAAATAACGATCACAACTTCAAAGGTGTAAAATGGTGATGGGGTAAAATGGCTGGTAACAAAAGGTAGATTTGCCAAAATACAATCACTGTGTTCTCTTAGATTTAATTAATAATGGTTGCATACCCAATTTGTACATTTTACAGATTTGTTATTCCTTTAATAGGTATAACAAATCTGTCCACAGTTTTCATTACAAAAAAAACAACAACCTAAATAGAGGGTCTAAATGACTCCTCAATCAGACACCACACAGTTTCCATTTATGCTGGCTGGTCATAGATCTCTTTGTTGTAGTTGCAGCTTAAAGAGCAACTTCATCTCCTTTACACTTTTTTTCCACAATTGTTAGATTAGATTGTATGTATGTATTCCTTATAATCTGTGAAATGTTGAGATATAACAAAAACGGATTCTGATAACAAAAGAAATATCATGTTGCTGCTTTTGTAGGTCAGGAAGAGGAGCACCCTTTTATGACCAAGCACTCAATTGCAAACTGTGAAAGCAAGTTTGACAACTACTGCATGAACAACGGCAAGTGCATTCTGCTGGTGGAACTCAAAGAACACCACTGCAAGTAAGTATATGTGTTGAGTGTATCCAGCTGTGTGTTTGAGTTTGTGTCTTGCTCGTTTGCTTTTTCACTGTCTCTGATTAAAAACTCTGGTTATTTGCTGCAGGTGTGAGAGGGGCTTTTATGGCAACAGGTGTGGCACTCCGGAATTTGTTTTGCAGCCATTGGATGAAGCGCAAGTGGTGGTCATCTTGTTCTGTGTGACTTTAATGATGATTGGGCTTGGCGGGACCCTGTACATCTTCTACAAGTGGTAAGGCTTGTATGTGTAAATGATTAAGTGTCGTGATGAAAGAAAATTTTGATTAGTGAAAGATAAAGGCAAGCAACTCTAGGAAGTACCAAGGTTACTGCTTATCAGCCACGGTTGACTCATGGATTTGACTTGTAAAACACACAACATCACTGGAGCAGAAGGCCCTAAAAAAAGTCATCACCACTGGCTCCCAAATATTTATTAACTGGTCATCATGAAAAGTCTTCTTCTTGGGTTGGTGGTTTTATTTAGGATTAAGGTATGAGTTTAGTTTTGTTTAGAATTAGACATGTTTTTGTAATGCTTATGGTTAGGTGCAGGATCAGGGTTAGGCCATACAAGCAAATGCCAAATCAATGGAAGTCAATGCCAAATCCCTTTAAGGATAGCGGGCATAATGTGTGTATGCGTGTGTGAGAAAACAGTATGTGTTTCAGTGATTTTCATAGACTTAAATCTAAGTTAAATATTGGATAGTCATTAAAAATAGGAATATCATTCCACAGCTTTTAAAGTTAAAGTTTAAATCCGAAAAGTAAGGCATGGATTTAAGTCCGCAGAAAAGACACCAAGGAGGTCGAGATTATAAATAATATCCCAATCTCAAGTTTCCCTATTCTTTTGAAAAAGGAAAAATGTTGCATGATTTCAAACTTGCCAGGATAAGGTGTTGTCTTTGAGAGAAAGCTATTATTTAAACAAAGCCACGTGACATTATACACTGGATATTACAAATATGGAAGAGGTTTTTCTGTTCAAACAAGGCTTCGATTTAACTTTTTGGGTTACATGAAAGATACAGGTCAGAAATGCAGCTTGAGAATTATAAAGTAAGGTCAACGTTTTAGAGAATCTCATAGAACATGTGTGATGTTGTGGGGATATTTCTTCTTTATCGGAGAAAGGGAATGAGGTCCGAGTTGATGTTAAGATGGATGGAGCTTAACATGAGAATATTCTGGATGGCCAACTTGTTAAAAGCTGTAAAGTACTTAAAAGAAGGTGTGGCAGATGTTGACCTTCAGATCAGAGGCATAGCCAGAAAATTTTAATAGGGGTGGGCAGTAAAAAACCAATGTCCACCAAGGGGTGGCCGAACCTGATAGGCGCCAGAACCTCAGTGTCAATTTAAACTGGAACGAGCACAACATCCATATTTTCTAAATAAAGACTAACTATACTTTCCTACAGACTTTGCTAACAAATAGACGCATATATTTAAACATCCATTTTGTCTAAATAAAAGGTTAAGTGAACAAAATTTCTAGGGTGAACATCTTTTCCATTGCCATTACTTACCTTCTATTATAAAAATTGTTCTGCATAGAATTCATATTTACATGGACTAATATGTACATTAAGTTATTATTGAAGTAGCTACTTATTATCTATTATTTCACTGAAGACTCCTAGATTACTTGCAGAAACACATAATTTTCTCTTTACCCCATATAACACAAAATTTAGTTCTGAAGACAGCATGAATTCTGTATATATCAACTTTAATGTTAGCATTATAGGTGGCCATGGCCACCTATGGCCCCCCATCTAGCTCAAACCCTGCTTAAGATGGCACAACAACTCAAGAATACAGTCTGAGTTGCAAAGGATGGTTTAGATTAGAGCTGAGCAGTGTGTCGATCAAAAACACCAGTATTTGCAGCATTGCAAACAGCAGAAACTGCTTGGATGTAATATTTGGTTTACATTTAGGGCACCCTGCATGCCAGCAGTATGTTTGGATATTAGCACTAGCTATTATTAAAAAACAGAGTGGGTTGAAACGGCCTCCCCTAGATTTGCTATGACAGTAGAGACAAAAATTAAAAGACTTACTGCTGTAACTGCAGCTGGAGGTGATGGGTATAGAGTCAGAGGGATTGAGGGCTAATGCACATCACACTTCTAAGAGTTTTAATCAATTATTTGAAAACCATATAAAACCACATTCTCTTTCCAACAGAAAAAATAAAGTTCCAGCTATTAAAACTCACTTCTTCTGCAGTACATTCTCCTGATGTTAACTGTTAACATTTTTGTTGTGCATTTACATACTGGCCTTCAGGTCATTGCACAATTTTCCAGATCCCTATTTTAGATCTGTAGACACTGATTAATAGATAGGATATGAGGACCTCTAGGGACAAATACCAGTAATTACAGAGAAAATCTTAGTTTTCAAACCCACAATACAAGAGCTCTATACAAAGAAAACTATTTTATGAATAATAAATAATTAAATTGTATAAATTACGGAAGCTTAAATACAACATTGATTGTTTACCTGAAAATGCACTTTTTAAATGTACATTTTCTTTAACTTGACCCTCAGGCAGCAAAACGTGACCTTAGCTCCTGTAAAACATGTCACACCACAGAGGGAAATGTCTCATTCCTCTAACAACAACACCCTTTTTAAATAATATTATGAAATGGATAATAGCACATACTGACATTTAATATGAAGAATAATGTTTGTGTTGTATTTTACAGGTACAAGAGGAGCAAATTTCAGAAGCAGCCAAAGCGGAAGGGAGTCCAGATGGTTTAAAGTGTGCAAACAAACCACTGCAGTGGCTTTTCCTGGGCTTTATTTTGTTATGTTTTCTTGATGGAAAAGTTGACCGTAAAAAGATGTTCCCAGACAAGTCTACACTTAAAAGCCTCGCCGTTAACAGACGCATCATCCCATCGAGATTATAATATTCAAAAGAGAGCAGCTCTTTGTGTGGGGGCAATAGTTTTCCAGCTGTACTGGTTCTTAGGTTTCGGCACCTGTTACACTCAGTTTGAAAAGATGAATAGTGAGACAAACAAAGCAGTTTCCAGTGGAAGACACCACCTACACAAGTCCAGAGATTTGACACAAAAAGATCAAATGGCTAAACTGTATGAAACTGTAAAACTACTAAGTTAAAGTAGAAAATCTAATAGATATAGTCTTGTTTATTTTCTTCTACGAATAAAGACAGTTCATATTTATTTGTAGCTTTCATTACACTTATATTTATTAAGTCATTTGTTACTTGGGGCTTTAGTTTAGTTACATTTTTTAACTTATTTTAAAGTTTTAATATATATATAGGCATGAATACCAGTTTTTAAAGGTTATTTTTTTGTAGTAAAGTAATAAGAAGTACAACTTGACCTTTCACCTAATCTCTTTTCAAGATTGTGTCCATATTGTTTCCATGTTTTCTACCAACATTAAAGCTTGTTTTTACCTTTTCCAAATGTTTTCATGGAGTTTCTTTAAATAATGATAAATTAACTCAACATTTCCCCTTTTTATCTTTTAGTTAAATTAAAACTATCATGCTTTTTCTTATCTTAACATTAGTGTCCAGACAGTGTATACATCCAGCAAGAACTACAATTTAATGAATATAAACAGTTTAATTTTATGTATAAAGCTCTCATTTATAACACATGCCATCTCAAGGCACTTTTTTACAAAGATAATATAATCAGATTATGCAGTCACACTGGTTCAACATTTCTGTCAAGGAAAACCGACTGAATACATAAACAAAAAATAAAGCAGAGAAATTAAAAAGCAAATGTTTGGTTAAACTGATAATCTAGAACTTATTTGATTTGCCAACAGAATACATTTTTCTTCGTAAATTGGTGATTGTATAAAACAACTTCAATAAAAAAGTAAGGATGAAAGCCAGAATACAATAACTAATACATTTTCTTATTTTTTGTTTATTTTGTCCATTGACACAATGTCGAATTTGTAAGTGTAGCCACAAAGATAATCTCACACTCTATTATTTGCTTAAAGAACCACACACTTTCCCTAATCATTAGCAAGGTCTTAGCCTAATGTTTGCTGCATATTTGGCCACGCTTCGCATTACAAATCGTAGCATTTATTTCATTATGATTGTTTTGATAGAAAAAATATGACTAAGGTAAATGTATACTAAATGCCTAATGTTAGCTACATTAACATTAATGCTCAATGTTTTTATTTTGATTTCAATTAATGCATTTATTTCAAATAAATGTGCATAAAAAAGACTAGAAACTAGAAAAGAAGAAAGAAAAAAGAAAGGAAGATGTTTATATATATATATATATATATATATATATATATATATATATATATATATATATATATATATATATATATATATATATATATATACATATATATTCTATACATCCATACAAACGCACATACAAATACATATAAAAAGAAGTACAAAAGAAAAAAAACCGGCAAAGTGCTTTAACAAAGATATAATTAAATCATTTCAGATAAGTTTTCATAGAAGGACTGCGAATACCTTTACAATTCTAGTTTTGATGTGTGTTTGGGATTACGGTTAAAATCTAACTGGTGTCAATATTTATAATTGTCAAGTTTTAAACGGCTCATCTTAACCAAAATCCATTCGGTTAAACCATTTGGAAATTTAAAGATCAGTCAAGCATTAATATCCTACATTTTGGATCAGGGGCTTCAGTCTTAATTAGTATCTTAAATACCAGATTGAATCCAAAATTGTTTGATCTAAAAAGTATCTCATATTTTCTTTAACATGAGAACTAAAGACAAGCTAATTAAGTCCACTAAACCTAGCATTGTGGACTTAAGTCCTCTAACTTCAGATTGTAAAATTGCATTTAACACATGCTTTTAAACTTTATATGTTAAGTTAAGTTATTGGAATCCATTTATTTAATTTTTATATATGTTCCAACACCTTGATTTAGAGAAAGCAACTAAAATACCTGGGTTAAGTAAATACAACATTTATCATTGTCAGAGGGGGCTGGTTTCTATCTCTAGCAATATTTAGGCAAAAGGTGGGGTACATATACATAGGTAGAACATGCAAAGTTCATGCAGACAGACCACAGGCCAGGAGTGAAGCCGAGGAAATGGTTGATGCAAACCACAAATGTCCCAGTCGTTGCTGCTGTGCAATTGATCATTTAAACTTGATCATTTAAAGTCTAACAAATTGAAACACTCACTTTTATGTCAAATCTGTGATCAATTTGTTGCCATATTAAATACATAACACAAAGAAAAGATTTTTCAAGATCAATTTAAAACAAATTAAACAAAAACAGGGCTGGTTTTGGTGTCATCCAGTTTGTGGAAGTAATTCACTTTCGATTTCAATTCAGTTTGTTTATATGGTGCAGATTCACAACACATGCCATGTCAGGACACTTTACAAAGACAATTCAAAGAGATCATAGTCTGATTGGTTAAAAGTCCTCTATCTTAGGTAAACCAGCTAATTGCTTTAACTCTTGAACTCTTTAGAATTCCCACACTGATCGTTCATGTACAGTAGCCGAAGTGGAGACAAGTACTACCTTTTAACAGGAATAAACCTCCAAGGGAACCAGACTCAGTGTGAGCGCCCATCTGACAAGGTGACTGGGGTGCAAGGAGACAGAAGCAGACACGCAGAAAGAAGCAGAGGAACAAAAGGAAACTGTGAACCAGCTCCACAGGCAGCCCCATCCAGGAAACACAAAGCCTGGCAGATGAGCTCCGAGCCAACTCCCATGTCAGAGGATAAAAGAGAGCACATACAGTTAGTCAAAGTAAGAGAAATGGCACTACACTAATAAACAAGCCAAGCTCAAACATCTATAAACAGAGATGTTGATGGCATCAGCACAGCTGATATTTCTTTCCTGGATGGTGCCCCAGCCAAACAGGAACAGAGGGTTGAACTAACGAATACTGCAGAATGGGAGAATAGAGATAGAATGAAGCAAAAAAGTGGTCCCTATGTCCTCCAGCAGTCTAAGCCTATAGCAGCAACATTATAGAGATAGTGCAGGATAACCTGAGCCCATTCTAACTATAAGCTTTGTCAAGAAGGAAAGTAATTTTCCTGTTTATGACATTTTAATTAAATGTGAACAATAAATAAACAGAGGAAGATCAGGAGCTGTCTTTTTTATATTTGAGAAAAAACACAGACATTGATAAAACAATAAATGTAAGAAAAATTATGTTCTGTTGATGCTGCTGCATCCACATCTCTATTATCTTCAACTTTCACATCGATGTATCCAAGATAAAATTGGGGGCGCGGTTTGGATGGGTTTCGTTTATTTCATAAGCAGGTCTCCCCATAGAGACATACATGTCTGTTATTACTTTGAAAATGATGTAAGGTCAGTTGAGATTTCAAAATTAACCTCCATTGAGAGGACGAAAACAGAGAGGGTCTGCTGTGTTGCTACTTTATTTGCCTCAGTTTGCTAGGCCAACACTAACAGCTTTTTAAAAGCTGCTTTTAAATGTAAAACAGACAAATGAACATTTCCAAGTGTAAACGTGTGTTTAAATTTGTTATGCTGTCCCTGAAAACAAACATTTCTGATGCCCATAAGTCTACGGTGAGGTTATTTTCTACTTTGTGACACTACCATTTCAAGTACTATAGAAAGGCATCTGTGGACAGTATTAATTTGCATAAACCTTAAAATGCATAAATAGCTTTCTATGCATTAGGAAATCCATAATCTTTAGCACCCAATTCTGTTCTTTTTTTAATCATGAGAGTGTTTTATATTTTCACCTTGAAAAACACGATAAATTAATCTGTATTAATCATACTTAAATATGTATGCTCCCAAAAAAGTGTTTAAAAGCATGTTTTGATTGTAGTTCACTAATAAACAGTTATGTTTAGACTTGTTTTAGTATGTTACATCAACCTACTGTATGTGTATATACCAGGTCATCTATCAGCACAAAGTTTAAAACACTCATAAAAGATTCAAAGAGTTTTAGTTGCTGGTTGAAAATAGAACAATATAACTTAGAAACCCCAAAGAACCGTCTTAAACTATCACAAACATCAGACCTACAGCTCTTGTGAAGACTGTGATGGGAAATGTTCACTAATTCCAATATTACATTTCTTCCAGGAAATACATTTCATATTCATCCAAAAGAGCAAGAGGATTAAAATCAGAAAGAAAGAAAATAATTCCATTGAGATCACATGTGCAAGGCAGATGGTAATACTTAATAACATAATAAAAGGGTTTTGCTCAACATTCTTCCTCAGAGTATTGTCTTCCCTTCTCTGCTGCTTTACACTGTTGCCTCACAAAGACACTTTTAGGGTTTAAACCCCAGGTAGAGAGTTTACACCTCTGGAGTACATGTATGGAAAGGTTATAAATTTGTTTTGAAATCTTGGGAAATTCAACACAGTGTGTTCCTATTATATGCTATATTGGGAAAACATAAAATCCCTAAATTGGGCAATTGAGAACATTTTAAACTAGAGGCAAGAGCACTATGTTTTTTTTAATGTTGCTGGAAGCTCCAGTTCTTATTTCAAAATGCTAATATAATAACAAAATACAAGAATACAAGAATACCACAAGCTACATGTTGCATTATTTTAATATAGAATCTTGTCCTAATTTCCAAATATTTTGTCATGTGCCTACATGAGAGAGCTGCAGTAAAGCTTCCTTGTAAATAAAGCTAATAGCTTGTGGCTTCTGGCCTTCTCACACCATTCGACTGATAAATGCCTCTCTAAAGAATATTCGGTTTAAAAAGAAAACAACAACAACTTTTTAATACTTAAATTACAGTTTTGTTATGTTATCAGAGAGCCGGCACATTTCTAAGTATAAGGTACAGAATCATTGTGACCTAACCTGAGCTGTTCTGATTTGCAATATTAGTTAATCAGTGGCCAGATTTAATTCTCTGCACGTCTATAGGCGCTTATTCCAAAGTCAATGAGCAGCAATTAAAAGTCAACTTAAGACTTGCAACAAGTTCTCTATGCAAATGACCTAGTGTGGTGACACATAAACATTAACTAGACTCCTCTCTTAAGACAT